CTTTAGATTTAAGTTATTTGTTGCAAGAAATAAGACTTGAAAGCATTTAGACTTTCCCTATGTTCTTCTAGTTGCATGCTCTAAGTACCCAGAGTTTTGGGATACACACAAATGGAATGGAAATATATATCTATGTTATATATATATGGACTTTCCACATGTGCAGCGGCAATCAAAGATCTGTTTATTGTTTACAATGGTCGTCATCATCGCCCCTCTGAAGCAGAGATCATTTTTAGCCTGGCCCCGGCACGTGCCCTTTCCATGCAGATTCCAAAACTTTTTTGGTTGGATTTCTCTCTGCGATCTATCCGGTCTTCTCATTACAATTAAGAATTTTATTTACAGCAAAAAAAGCCAAAAGAAAAAAAAAAAAAAAAGGGGAGAGAGAGTACCATGAGTTGCTGCACTCAATAATGGGGCTAAATAGGAAATGGAATTCAGAGGGAGGCCAGAGGCAAATGCTTTCGATAATATTAGGTTTCTTTATGTACATACCAACACTCAAGGAAGCTAAAGTTCTACACTCCGAAACTCCACACTCTCCAAACTCCATCTATAATAAGGGGGAAACAGATGATAAATGGCTAAGTTTACAGGCTCTTATCCATATTTTATTGGAGATCAAATGCAAGAAGCATTTTTAACTGATGGATATATGTATGTAAGAAGATAATGTAATACCGCTTGCTTGTGCTTCTCTGGGCCCCGTCCAGTGTGTCCCTGTTACTTCACCCTTAGCGTGGCCACATTGGATTATTCTCGTACCACTTGGCCGGATAGCGTTCGTAGGGACGCGAGCCATGCATACGGCGCAGGCGCAAAGGCGCCAAACGCATGGGTACGGCCTGCTCCTGCTGCTGATCATTATAATAATTGTGATCAGCATGAACCGGGGGACGCTTATCGCAGTCCTCCATAGTATCCATCTGATTGCACTCAATGTTTTGATTTTGCTCCTGCAGAACTCGATCGCCGGAACAGAACATGGTGAAGTGCCCCTGCCGATCGTCGGCGTCCTCGCACTCCATCTTCTCCTCCCTAAAGGTGGAGGACATATCAAGCTGCATCAAGTCCTGATCACCCAGGACGTTCCAAAACGGATTCATTGTTACCAAATTCAATGAAACTTTATTGATATTTTTCGTCAACACTAAAGAAAATCACGTGACAGAAGCTATGTTACTGCCTAGAGGTGGGAGAGAATAACTGAAAAGCTATTCCTCGATAAATCGATTGTAATGTTATTTTTGTTTTTTACTCATCGATATATACAAACGTACATATATTAGTTAACGAATATATATACTTTGACATATAAATCAAGGATCATCTTTTAAAAATGAATTGATTTGATGATTATATCGAACGAAGCTTATATTAATAATAATATCAATTCTTTATTTCTGAATTTATTCGATAATAAGTATATTTTAAAGTTTTATGCCATAGTTTTCAGTACTTAAAGTTCGATATATCAAAGTTTAAAATATTTTCGGTATGATCTGAATATCTAACCCCCAAATAAAATATTTTTAAGCACATTTGTATACCTTTGAATAACTATACTTTATTGCAACACTGCTCTATATAATTTTAATTCGAAAATGTCTTGCCTTAATGCCTTTAGCCTGTCGGCTATAACTCCAAATTGCAGGGAATGACATTAGGTCAGCTGCCTTAACTCAACGACTTTAGCTTCAGCTTTAACTTCAGCCTCAACTGGTTTGAGTCTCACGCAATTTGCTTTGAACAATTGCTAAATTGACATTTGCTGTCCGTACATATAGTACAATACATACTACTTATATGTGCTCGACTTGTTGCTCCAATTGAGCAGAAATTTGCTAATTTCATCCAAAGAAATTTCTTGTCTTCCGTTTTATTGCTCTAAATAAACAGATAATAAGTAAGTAATAATATGGTCGTTATATAGACGTACTTTCAGTCATTCAGTCCTTTACGATACTCTGAATATTTATAAAATAATACATATATTGAAAAATAATTACAATTATTATTTTAATGGTTTAAAGATCTATTACCATCTCAGAAACAATAATTTTTGATATATTCCACTGATATTTTCCATATATGACCCTTTTTAATGGTCTTTAGATATAGATATTGGTATCAATATCAGATATTGGTAAAGTTTATGGCATTCCTTTATACCATGGAGCTTTATTTATTTTTTCTTTTATTTTCTTCTTCATTTTTTAGTTACTTTTTCGTTATTTTTTTCCATAAGAAATCAACGCGCAACCTACGATGATTTTTAATTACAAGGCAGCTCTCGCACGCAGACTCTGCCTCTCGGAACCCTCCTTTCCCATGCTATATAGTGTATATATTATATAGCATATAGAGTGTACGGGTTTGCCGACCGACTCGACCAACAACGGCAATTAACAATCTTTTGGCGGCGACAACATTTAACGGGACAGCATTTTGCGAACGCATCGATTACCCACCTCACAGACGGAGCTACGCACCTGAAGGCGTTGTGTGTTGCTTGGGCAGGTGAAAATCGAGTCGAGAGATCGGAGGGGAAAAAAAATCAACAAAATAGCCGCAGCAGCAGCTACGCAAATTTTACGCAATTGGGGACACCAGCACAGTGGTTAAGAAACAATAATTCTAATAGAATTATTATTTTAAAATAAAAGGAAACTTAAAGTTTACAATTTAATTATAGGATCATATCAGATATCGATCATAGTTTCGAACTTAAAGTATTCGCATTCTTTGAATTCACATTTATCACTATTCTTATATGGCCATTTTTTAGATAAATCAAAATTTAAAAAGCTCATAACTAAATCAAAAATGCATTAATTTCAATTCGGAAAGCTTTCCTATGCTAGTTTTTATTAGGTTAACAAAACTGCATACTCAATATAACATTTTTTCAAATTTCAGTTTTTATCAATTTTTCAAGATATGAATGTTGTAAAAATAATGACAAAATTTTGAAAAAAAAATTATAAAATTTTTTTTCGACCAGATATGGCTAGATCGATTCGGCTGATCATTTTGATCAAGAATATATATGGTTTATAGGGTCGGAAATGACTCTTTCACAGCGTTTGAGGCTTCTGATTAAAATTATATTACCATTTTTAACTGATATTTATCTATATTTTTATATGCATTTTTTTCGACAAATCAAAGACTAAAAAACTCATAACTTAATCAAAAAAGCATTAAATTTAATTCGGAAAGCAGTTCTACGTTAGTTTTTATAAGGTTAACAAATCTGCATACTGAATATAACATTTTTTCAAATTTCAGTTTTTATCAATTTTTCAAGATATGAATGTTGTAAAAATAATGACAAAATTTTGAAAAAAAAATTATACAATTTTTTTTCGACCAGATATGGCTAGATCGATTCGGCTGATCATTTTGATCAAGAATATATATGGTTTATAGGGTCGGAAATGAATACTTCAAACGTTACAAGCTTCTGAATGAAATTATGATACTCTACATACGTACATAATTTAAGGAAATATGGAAATATTAAATCATAAAGTCAATAAATAAATCGTTTAATAAAGCAATTTTGTATAATTTAAGTATTAAATTACATTATTTTATTGTATTTACCAAGTTTTCTATCCAAATTGTTAGACTTTCAGCTTTAGAAACCCCTATGTAGCTCTAAAACATGCATTTTAAGAAAGTAATCTCTCTCAGTGTCTTTTTTTTCTGGTTTAACCATAAATAAAATTTCCAAAAACTGAAGCAAACCTTAGCCATCAATCAGTAAAGCACTTGAAATATGGCAAAAATACATCACGTATACGAGAGCCACTGCTGTCTGACCCCGAAACCCCAACAACTTGTGCCCAAATGAGAGACCGGTGAAGCCCAAAAAATCAACCAAAAAACCCAAAAATACAGAGCGGAGTCAAACATTACAAAATACATAAAAAACATTTGCCAAAATGAAACAAGAACAAGCCCAAATAAGAGTAAAGTTGTGGAGAGAGAATACTATATATATAACTCTGTAAAGAGACCTTCGAAAGCCATGAATAACTGTGATTCGACTTTTTTTGCATCCGAAGGTTGAGGTATTTGCGATTTTAGATATAGATTTATATAAGAAATAATACAAATAATACAAATAATAATAATAAATAGCAAAAAACATTAAAAATCCTTAAGAACGCCTTTCCAAGCTTTAAGAGAAACCAAGAAATGTTTTCTTTCCCCACTAATCTCCCATAAGTATCTTATTTTCTCAGTAGGTGTTAGGGTAAGGAAAATAAAGAAAACTATCTGAGAAACGCTTAATTTTGTACAGGAAACCACCATGATCCACCATGCAAATGAAACCTTCACTGTGATCCCTGCTTGAACCCGTTTCCATCTTGCTTGCCTTCTTATTCTAAGCTACACCGAAAGAAAAATGTTGAGCAAAGAGCAAGAGAACAAATTGATTTATTAATAAGGGTTTTCATTTCAAACTAAATGTTTTTAATATCTTAAGAATCTTTAGGTTTTGGGCTTAGTAAACATCGTTTCTATATAGTTTATTTATAAAATGCGAAAACTTTAGTTCATAAATCAAATAATAAATAACTATATTTATTTTGTTTATCTGCCTGTATCAAAAAACCATAGGAAATCATAATGCAATTATAAGTTTAATATTTTTGAAATTTAGTATAAAAATGCGTAACTTTTTTGGTGATAAATAGACAAACAACCAATAAAAAATAAAATGAATATATATCTGCTCTTTTAAAACCCCCTATTTAGTTCAATAAAAGTTTCTTTCAGTGTAAGGTGGGCAAGAATCACTTCCCAGACAAAACGGAGCTCAGCGATTGATGGGATGATTGATTGATGAATGGCGGCAGGGGATGGGGCTGGCTCTCTCTCTCTCTCTCAGCTAATCAGATTAGCTGGAGATGTCGTAACCCGGCGGCGTGTTATCGGACCGTGGCCAATTGGTCACCGATCTTTCCCCACAGGTATTCACTTACCTTGGCTTGGCTTGGCTGCTGCACCTGCGGCTAAGACGTAGGGCGGAGGCTGCGGCTGTGTTTGTGGCGATGCAATTGCGGTTTCATGTCGGCCGGAAGCTTCCACTGGCCACAGAAATGGCAGGATATAAAGTCGGGAGGATATGTGAAGAAGATCACTGGGCTGAGCGAGAGAGTGATAGTGACTGGAAGTGGGAGAGCGAAGTTTCGGTCTTCGCGCGAGAGAGGGCTTCAACCTCAAGTTTTCACACGCTTTCACTTGAACAAAAAAATAAACACACACACACGCGCGCACAAACACTTAATAAACCGCTAATGCTTTTTCTTCGTCTTCTTTGCCTGGTCTTTCTTTCTCTCACTCGCTCTCACTGTATCTTAGTTTTTGTCACCCGAAAACCGCAATGAAAACACTCAACAAACAAAACATACGCGCAACAAGTGATTGTTTTTCGAGTGCGCAAGCGCAAACGCAAACATAAACAAAAGCCACGGCGGCAGCAAACACGTCCGATCACCGTGAAAACAAAAACAAAATTAACACAAAACCACATTTGTTTTGTTTTGGTATTTTTTTGAGAATTTTTCTTTGGTCACTCTGAATCCCGCAGCTGGTTATTAACATTTTACATCTTACACGTCTGGTTAACAATTTTACACGTTTACAGATACATGGGGCTGAATTCCCGCCCTGAGTGTAGAATGCTCATGTAGAAAGTAAAATTCGTTAACAGATCTGCTTTCATCCAGACGGAAAGAATGTAAATTAACAGACTTTTCACTCTGGCTGTTGGGTGCTATGTCGCAACCGGTGTGAATTTAGCTATTCTTCCACTAGATTTAGCTTTTTTCATTTGCCCGATGGTGCTATTTTTAGAGAATATTTAATTAGCATTCTAGTAATGTTGTTAACTTTAGCTTCTATTTAGCAACGATCTGGCTATTGTTCTTTTATATTTATCTGTTTTGCACGAAATCTAGCCACTATTTATTAATATGCCAACTTAAAGCCTGCACCAGCTATCGATAGGCGATGTCAATAAAGCGCCCTCTACATAGTCCGATCGGGAAGTCAAGTGTGTTGAGAATAGCGATTTAGGAGTTTATCGAATTTAATTAATTAAACTGTTAAATTGTTTAAAGACTTATTGTCCCTTTTTTTAGGATTGGAACATTTAGGAAATTATTAACCGTCTTAGAACACAAGGGATTATGTCTTTCTTCACATGCAGGTATTCAAATCAACATCACCGAAATCGTAAACATTTAAAAAACATGTTAAGCACAAGATCAATATGCCAGTGGCGCCTCTAGCGGGACTTTGGAAATCGAAGTTGTGGTAATAAACTGAATAATAAAAATACTATAATACATATAATAAAATAAAATAAATATAATAAAATAAATGTAATAAAATAGATGTAATAAAATAAATATAGTAAAATAAATATAATAAAATAAATTTAATATAATTAATATAAAATAATAATTAATATAAAATAATAATATCAAACATAAGACTTAAAACTCAATACTTATTAACTGCGCAATATCTTTATAGCCGGTTTTACAACCACTTTTCATTTGCTCGATGCCACTGCAGAGGGAAGCTATTTTTAGGTATGAAAATCGCAATCACTTGGCCTTATGATTCTCAAGTTCATATTCTGTTCTGCACCAAAACCTGGCATTGCTTCTTTTCTTTTTCAAAGTAATATATTATAAATGCTATTATATTGGGAGAAAAACCCTTTAAACTTGTTTTTTTTTAATAAAAAAAAAGATTTATTTTTTGCCATAATGAATAAAACCAGTTTAGGGTGCCATTAGTTCTACGGACATGGGTAAAAGTAAACAGTTTCTCCCCACGCACTAGGATTAGTATTGCTCCGTTCTTTGCTCTCTCTCTATCTCTCTTTCTATCTCTTTCTCTAGTGAGTGCTCGAGGAGATCTGGTATCAGATGGATATTCGGCTAGATGTAAAAACACTTAACTAAGCTCGGAGACGAGCAAGGGCTAAGAGACATACGTATATAGATATATATATAGATATGATACTTAGGGCTAGGAAGCTACTTATCCTTAGGTATACGCTACGTTATATTCAACTAAAGTACTGACAAAAAAAAAGTACACTCAAGACTAGACTATACATAGGGGGGCCTTATGAGGGGGAGGAATGGGAGAGGAACAGGATCTGGAACTGGGGACTTGGAACTAGGACTTCCTTAAGTCATTAGGTGGTTACTGGTTAGTGTGGCTAAAGTGTGACTAGTATTCGTTTAGAGTTGGCTTATGAGTTATATCGGCTATCGGCTACAATTACGATTGTTGTCATGGCATGGAGCTGGGATCAATGGCTTGGCTGAGCGGGAACGGGAGCAGGAGCAGGAACAGGAGCAGGAACAGGAGCAGGGGCAGGAGCTGGAGCTGGCGTCTGTTGCTGCTGCTGCTGTTGTTGCTGCTGCTGTTGTTGTCTATTATGGTTGTTATTGCGCGGCGGTCAGGCGACAATATCGCTACCGGGATTATAGCCAAAGTAATTCAAATTGAACTCATCGCTGAAGAGCACCTCCTCCTCGGAGGGTTCCACCTGATGTGACATCTGTATGCCCAGCTCCATGGGATCAATTTCGGTGATATAGTACTGCGAACTGCTGCTGCTGCTTTGTCCCAGGCTATGACCCAGATGACCATGTTGCTGTCGCAGGCCGCTTTCCGTGACCACCACATCTTTGTGTATGGGATTGAGATAGTCTTCTGGGGAGGAAAAAATAAATCAAGTGAGTAGGAAAATTGAGAGCAAGGCTATCTGATTTTACCATTATCCAGCAGCACATCGTGATAAGTACTGATAATGGAGTTCACCGACTGCACTTCCACCTCACGATGTATGCCATTTAGTATTTGACCCGCCGTCTTTCGCAGCTCATCGTCGCTCAGGAGATCATTGAAGGGTAGCAATCGCTGATGCTGTTGCTGCTGCTGTTGCTGCTGCTGTTGCTGCTGCTGCTGCTGATGATGGTTGCTGTGATGTCCTTGGTGCTGGGCATTCTCGCTGCTGCCGCCGCCGCCTCCTGGTGCCTGATGCAGCATCTCCTGGGTAAGCGTGGCAGCAGCCACGGCTGCCTCATCATACAAACAATTGCTGGTTGCAGTTGCATGCTGCTGCGTTGCATGCTGCTGATGTTGCTGCTGTGGTGAATGGCAATTGTGTTGCTGCTGCTGTTGCTGTTGTTGATGATGTTGCTGCTGCTGCTGTTGCTGTTGTTGCTGCTGTTGCATCTGTTGCTGATGCTGTTGGATGCGCTCCCGATTGATGGATTCCATTTTAAAGAACAAATCCAGACGCTGCTTCTTCTGCAAAAGAGTTATGAGTTTTAATTTAAAGTTTTTATTGATGTTACAAAACTTGGATACTTACATGCTCCCAGGCTAGGACATTCTCGGCGGAATCCCCACTGGATATGGCCCACAGGTGGCCGGCACCTTGCGGCGCCTTGACACCCTTACGAAAATGCGGATTTATGGAGAGATTGTGTCGCACCGAGTTCTTCCAGCGGTCATCGTTTGATTTGTAGTAAGGAAATCGATCGCTAAAGGTAAAGAAAAATAAGGAAATGATTAGTTTACATGATAAACTTGGATTTTAAGTTGGTTTAATTATGTTAAAGAAAGGATAGAAGGGTTAAAAAGGGTTTCTTCTTTCTGCTTACATTCATTCACCTCTCTTCTGTTCTGGCTGACCAATTGCATTTCGAAAACTTACAGCCCCTCTTTTTTTTATGGTTCCACCAATCCTGGACAGGAACAGGGACACGTGAGACAGCGGAAACGAGGCAATTTCCCTGAAACACGTCATCACAGCACTGCGGCAGTCTCTCTCACACAAAACACTCGCTGGGGGGGAAAGACTTCAATGGAGGGAGAACACGGACACGGACAGGGACATGGACAGGGACATGGACATGGACACGGACACGGACACGGACAGCGGCAGTGGCACAAATTATGCGTCGTTTCTCTCCGGCTCGTTTTGATTTAACGTTACTCCGTTTATTTTTTTATTTTTCTCTATTTTCTTTTTTTGGGTAGTCAGTCACGAACAGGCGATTTCGGAGCTGGTCTTCCTCCTTAGGAAAGAAATAAAAATGGAGTATGCCCCATGTCTGGCTCCCACTCCCCTTTCCGCCCCTCTTTTTTTTTTTTTTTTTGATGTAAAGAGGAAACAACGACGACCGGAAAGGACATCGCGTGCCAGGATTCCAGGCAAAGGGTGCTCGGGCTATGGATAGTTTCTGCCTTCGGTGGTGGACGGGCAACAAAATGGAAAGTATTTCAAATTACAACACACACAGAGAGAGAGAGAGAGAGGGAGAGAGAGAGGGAGATAGAGAGAAAGAGTGAAAGAGAGAAAGAAGAGCATGAGAGTGAGAGAGAGACACGCGCCGTTCGGAGGTGGAAAACAACCCCCATGAAAAGTGGGAAAATCTAAGGAGTTGGGGTTAGACCTATGTCATTGGTTAACTGCCACTAACCTACCTCCCCCCCCACAGGACCACTACAGGATCCACGCCCACGCCCACGGACCTCGTAGGCAATCCAAAAACAAATTTCAGCACGCGACCAAAGGCCTCCTCCGCTTTTTCTTTGGCAAAAATCGTTTTTTACCCGATTTTCCTTTTCGAATTTTCCTCAACGCTCTACCTTCCATTTTAGTTTTTATTTGGGAGCAAATGACGACTCATAAATGGAGTGAAATATGGAAATCCAGGTAGGTATGGGGTAGAGTCCTTAATGACTCCCTACTCCCATGTGTGTAAGGCAGATATGTGGCACGTGGGTGGAAGAGGAACATGGACAGGGACAGGGACAGGGACTCCGTAAGGATTTGGCACGCAGCCCGTCATGACGCATCAACCGGTGGAGTCGTCGAATGATGTGGCACTTGAAATTACCTCCGCATCGAGAATTGGGAAACCAGAAGGGAGAAAGGATCAAGGAGTAGGGAACAGGGAGCAGGGAGCTAGGTACAGATAAATGGAATCAACTCCATTAGCCACTAGGTGGTTGTCTTTACCCTGTTTTCAGGAAACTTCGCTTCGATTGTAACTAGTTTTGGAAAAGAAGGTGGTGAAGAATGAGGTATTTCGGAACCCCTTTGGCTTTTCTAGAAGATCCCAGTCCTTGGGTTTGTAAATATGAAGCTTTAAAGTATGTCAGACAAAAAAATATATATTATATATACAACCTTTAGACTCTCGAATCTTTTCTGGGAAAACATGTTTAATAATTTTCTTCAAGTTGAAAGAAGGTTTTCTTTTAAGAGACGATTTGGAAGGAAGAAGAAAGGCAGCAATGCTTGTACATTGCAGACACAGTGTGTAAAAAGAGCGAGAGAAGCAGAGATCCTTTAAAAAAACGAATAGCACCAAGAGAGCTACATTTTAAAGCGAGAATGGATCAAAGAGCGCATTGGAATCAAATCGACTTGGCATTTGCAAGGAACCAATATTCTCTTTGGCTTGTACATTGCAGGCATAGCGTAAAAGAGACCCGAGAGAGAGAGAGAGAGAGTAAATTAGAGAGACATCCTTTTAAAAAGAGAATAGTCTCAAGAGAGACATTTAAAGCGAGAAAAAGAGAGAGAGAGGAGGCTTCTTATTTAATAGGATTCAGAGAAAAATCTACGTTTAAATTTTTTCAAAATTCCCCTAAGATAACTTTCCGATTCTGATTAGTTTGTTATTTAAAAAAATCTTAAGTCAGTGCCATAATAACACCGAATGGATAGTTTATGATAGCTGCATGACTGTCTAGTCTTAATCATTATCATGCAACCCACGCTGGCCAATCGATACTTGAGTATATATACAAATATCTCTACAGATACTTGCCACTATATATATATAAACACATATATATATCACATTTTGTCTGCCGCACTTGTCGAATTGTCAACGTGGCTTCAAGCACGTAGTTCTCCTCTCAAATGGAAAAAAAGGACTTTTGGGGATGGGTTTTAAGAGGTGGAATAGTGGGAGTTGCTAAAGGTTGCCTGAGTGGGCTTTGTTAAGTTAAAGGTACAAAATAAAATCAAATACTCGCTATCAGCGTCGTCATCGTTGTCAATGAATTTGACTGACTGACTTTGCCTTTCGGAACAGGTAGAACAGGTAGAGGAAGCAATGAGGCAGGAAAAATAGGTGGTTCCTACGAAATTGTCGAAATACACGGCATGTCCTCGTCGCTCCCAAAAAAGTCCCCACTCTCTTTTACAATACCCATTTGCATAAATAAATATATATGTATTTATATACTTGAATGATTCGGTCAAAAAAATATAACTACATTAGTAGCTGAAATTTGTAGGATTTTTCCTTACATTAGTAGTTGAGTTTTTAGGACTTTTTCTTTTATTAGTTTTTCAGAATTTAAAACCAGTTGCCTTAAAGTACCTACAAAAAGCCTACCTACAAATCCTTTACAGAAAGAATAATTTATACACCTTTTAATTTATATTCCTAGAACGTTTTTAGTAAATGTTATTTCAACTTTTTAACACTGCTTTTAAGAATAATTTATACTCCCTTAAATCACCTTTTAATATATATTCCTAGAAGTTCAATGGCTTGCTTATGTTTTCTACTTTAGGTAAAGGGTATTTAAACTATTTTTCAAGACTGATTTAAAATCTATATTATAATAAAACAAATTTTTCCCTACTTCAGTAAATCTATAAATCAAATATTTCTAATGTTTTAAGGATGTATTTTGGCTGGCTAAAAAACCAGGAACTCCTGATAGCATTTATTGCCTTATATCTATATTTTTTGATACTGCTTTGAAATCTATATTATAAAAAGACAAATTTTTCCCTACTGAAGTGTCTCTATAAATCAAATATTTCTAAATTTTTAAGGATGTATTTTTGCTGGCTAAAAAAACGAGGAACTCCTGATAGCATTTATTGCCTTATATCTCTACCTGTGGGGCTGTCCAGCTTGATGGGAAATGAAATGTAATTGACTTCGGCCTCCGGCTTCCGCGTCAGACATGGCTGCCAGAGTTGAGGATGGGGCCTAGGGACCTGGGGGCCCGGATAGGCTGCGATGGTCGCTCGGACTAGTTGGTTGGCTCCGGTTTTGGCCCGGGCTTTAGACCCAAATGGGCCGGGCCCCGGGCCGTGTCTGGAAGTGCCTGGCACGCAAGCCAACTCCTCTCGCACACACTCCTCGCCTTGCCACGGAGAGAGCTTCATTTCTTTCTTTTTTTTTGACATGGCAGCAAGGACCGGGCCACCAGACTGGGCAACTACTTCTGGCCCTGCATTTATTATATATACATATAAATATATATATAGTATAAAGTATATGGTATATATCTGAAGGGGGCGGACACGGACACAGTTAGTTATTGCTTTGCGCCATAGTCAGTTCATAAATTTTTGTTGCGGCTCGTCCACATCCACATCCTCCTCCTCCTCCTGCTCCTCCTTGGTCCTTTTCCCCTCGGCCAATAAAAGAAATTGGCTTGGATTTATGGCCAGCACTGCGAGTTGAAAGTAAAAAGTTCCCTCATTTCGGTTGGGCCAAAATGAAAAACTTTTTAATGGCAATTGCCAATTTTTTTATTCTTCTCTCCACCTCCCCCCCCTTGGGTGTAACTTCCAACTGGCCACGCCTCTTTAGAGGCAAAAGGCTAAACCCAAGACCAAGAAGGACAACTTTGAGGAGAAGTTAATCAGAAATTGTCTTGAAGGAGATAGAAGTCTATGACTAAAAGACAAATCGATATTAACCTTGGTTTCCCACACAATCCAAGGCAAGAATATGAACTTTAAGGCTTTATACTATGTTCTAATTCTATGTTCTTCTTCCAAGACTAAATGTAAACAACTTCCAAAAAAAAGAATGGTCTTCCTAAAAGCCGAAAAGATCCATTTGTATTCCTCTGTATTTCTGCTTTGCTTGTACATTGCAGGGAAAGGTGTAAAAGAGGGAATAAAAGCAAGATAGTTAAAATTTGTTTTTTAATTTTGTATAACTTTGAAGGATGTTCTTATTACAGTCACAGGCTTCTAACACAGTAAAAGAAACGTTTACGATCCCATAAATCATATATATTAATGATCAGCTCCAACAGCTGAATCGATCTAGACATGTACAGTAGAAAATAAAATTTTTGAAATTTTCCAAATTTCATAAGGGTTAACACCTTTAAAAAATTTTCAAAATTTGACAAAAAATTATAGAATTTAAATTTTAAAACTCGGTATGCATATTTGTTAGCCCTATAAAAACTAGGCCATGGAAGTTATACAAATTTAAATGAATTGCTTTTTGGTTTAGTTATGATATTTCAAAAACTTTAGATATAACCCAAAAATTACCATATAAAAATATCTATTTAACCTTTCTTGTTGAAATAAAATGTTAAGCTTTGGACATTAATTATACAAGTGCTTATTAAGTAAGAAATTTAATGCTCATCACATTATTTGTACCAAAAAGTAACGATTTTTTCCACTTCATTTAAATATTCAAAAAAATGTACATTAAAAAACAAAAGTAACCCAGGGAATACGTGCTCTCCTATTTTGCGGTCTCCTGTTCAATATGCCAATGATCCTTGCCACATGTCCTTCCATGACCGATCAAGCATGATCCGCAACCCAATAAACACTCAATATGCATTTTCCAAAATTGACCGGAAGAGGCATAAAAGACCAACCCCTCCAAACGCTTAACCCACTTAACCCCTTAAACCCTCCTCGATGGGTAATTGCTCACCTCCCGGAGGAAAATGGTAAAAAAAGGGACAGGACCCAAGTCCATGTCAAACACCTGATCCCTTTTGGATGCAATGATGCATGTAAAAGGTGTAGAAAAGCCGGAAGGGATGCATGCCTCCAACCCCCGCAATTAATAATTATTGCTGAGCGCGGCATGGAAATTTCATGGGCAATTGCCAGGACACAGGATGGGGTGCAGGTAAGAGGTGAAGTAAGGGGTGAGGGGTTCAACATGGGTCGCGTGGGCGAGTTCCGAGTTCCGAGTTCCGAGTTCCAAGTTGCAAAGTTCCAAGTCCCTAAATTGCCATTGGGAGGGGTGACTCTACATGGAGCGCAGGCGCCAGTTTTGCCTTGACTGCACGAGGACAAGTCCCTGGCTGGGAAAACCACCAACCACCCATCCAACCCATCCAAGGCAGCAGCTCCCACAAAGTAAATTTGTGAATGGTTAATGAAAAGTTTCTCCAAAAAAAAAAAAAACAAAAACATGGCAAGGAGCCAGGAGAACTCAGTGACTTCCTTGGACTCCATCCAGCTCATTACAGCTAAATGCAGGGGGCGGTTCGCAGGTGATGGGCAAATGTCATAAATTATTTGTGGGGTGGTTTTCTATGTAAATTTATATAGGATATTTACACGCAACATTTTTGTATTTTTTTTTTTGGCTGCGGCTTCAAATATTTACACTGATTCCCTCTCTCTCTCTCTCTCTCTCTCTCTCTATAAAAGCAGGTGCAGGGAGCAGGTTGAAGGGAAATGCCAAATTAATGAACCTTGAAAAATGTGTTAAAAGTTTTCTACGTTTATGAGTCTGTCTTCTTGTCGAATTGATATTTTCCCCAACTTTTTATTTTTTCTTTTTTGGGTGGAAAACCCAAAAGGGGGCTTGAAACTAGGTAAAGACAAAAAAAATTAGAGAAGGAGGAGAAAAGTAAAAGGGTGGAATACCAATGATAATTTCAAACAGAAATAAATCCTATAGAAGGCTAAGTTATAACTTAATTTCTTAATAAAAAATATATGCATAAGCAAGAAAGGAAACTAACTTCGGGCAGCTGAAGTTTATATATCTTTGAAATATGAAACTGAATTATAGAATCAAATTAATCATAGCTAAGCTTATATTATTCGAATTCTCTGACTCGATATTTACCAATATTTTTATATGACAATTTTTACTACAAAGCAAAGTTTGAAATACTCAGCCAAAAAAGCATTAATTTCAATTCCGAAGGCAGTTTTATGTCAGTTTTTATAAGGGTATTAAATCTGCATACTCTATTAAAAATCTTTAAATTTAAAAATTTTTGTCTTTTTTTTGTCAATTATAAACCTAAAAATTTGTTTAAAATTTAAAAAAAATACATTTTTGTCGAACATAGCTAGATCGATTCGTCTGTTGATGCTGATCAAGAATATATATGATTTATAGGGTCGGAAATGACTCCTTCACTTTCTTTTAAGCTTCTGACTGAAGGCCCATTACCATTTTTGTACCGATATTAAAAATATTTTTATATGCAATTTTTCGACAAATCAAAATTTAAAAATCTCATAACTAAGCCAAAAACGCATTAATTTCAATTCGGAATGCTTTCCTATGCTAGTTTTTATTACGTTAATAAATCTGCATACCCAATATAACATTTTTTCAAATTTAAATTTTTATCAATTTTTCAAGATTTGAATGTTGTAAAAATAACGACAAAATTTTGAAAAAAAATTGTTAAATTTTTTTTTGTTCAGATATGGCTAGATCGATTCGGCTGCTCATTCTAATCAAGAATATATATGGTTTATAGGGTCCGAAATGGTTTTTTCACGGCGTTTGAGACTTCTGACTAAAATTATATTACCATTTTTTAACCGATATTTATATATATTTTAATATGCAATTTTATCGATAATTCAAAGTCTAAAAAACGCATAACTCTGCCAAAAAAGCATTAATTTTAATTCGGAAAGCTGTCCCATGTTAGTTTTTATTAGATTAATAAATCTGCATACTCAATATAACATTTAGACTATTTAACCCTATAAGGGTCTAAAAATTAATAAATTGTTGGGAAAATTGTTTATATCAACGAGGTAAGATACGACTGGAAACTGAATCTTTAAAGTTTTTACCAAACGCAGAGAAATATTGTGATCTATTTACGGTTCATGATTAACAAGATATGCAGAGTTAGAGTCTAAATCCTAAACTAAAGAAATACTAAATCAATTTGAGTCAAAGAGTTTAAGGTAAATCACAGATATTTCTGTTATTTCCTTGGGTTATATGTTAATTTCTTCATCGAAATAGTTTAAGGAAAGTTAATTATCATAGAGAAAGATGAGTTTCTATAGTTTTTATAGGGAAAATAACATAAATTAAGAATTTTTGGAAGAGAACGATACCTTTTATAACAAATTCTTAGGAAGATATTTCTATAAAAAGATAAAATCTATCTGCAAACCAAGTCTAACCCCAAAACCCATATAAGAACATTGTAAAACCTAAAAGCTAACAAAAGTCAGAACTTAGAAATAGTTTCCCTTCAAAAGCTACAAGCAATTAGTTTTTGTACCTACATATATCCCTTCACCCATAATATCTGATAAATAAAGCCCAAGAAATGCTAAAACAACTTGTTGAGCAACATTTTTTCTAGTTGTAAATTTTCCAAGACCCATAAATTGTTCTAGCTGCAAACTTTTGGCACTCTTTTTTTGCCACTGTTTTGTTTGGCTTTTCCCTTGTTTTCCCCTAACTTGTTGTTTGGTTAACAACCAGGAGGAGCAACACCTTCGCCAAGGGAGCTCAGGTAGTAGGAGGTGGAGCCGTAGGGAGCCAGGAAGTATAACCAAATGGCCAACGGGAATGCCCAAAGGAGAAATGCTTGAGATTTGTTTAATTGCATCCGGCTGGCACTGGCACTGGCACTGGCACTCTCTCTACATACACATGAAACACTGCCAAAATGGCGTCCATCAACTGGGTGGTGAATTCAGGTGGGATTCAGGTGGGATTCAGGTGGGATTCAGGTGGGATTCATGGGGGTGGTGGTGACTGGGATTGGGGGTACTTACGATATCCATTGGTATATGCCCGACACAGTCAGCTCACCCTTGTCCTCGAGGGCGTATTCGATGAGCTCCGTGTAGGTGAACGGTGGTTTCTTTGGCCTGCTTGTTTTGCGGTGGTGGTTGGTTTCGGGTTTCGGATTTCAGACCCAAGTGAATTCAGGGGGGGGGGGGTTTGGGGTGAATCAGTGGTCGGTCGGGTGGTTCATTCGTTCATTTGTTCATTCATTCGTCGACATCAGGTGGGTGTGGGGAAGGAGGTGGTGTTTGCCGCATCGATTGGTGGACGGAGGCACAATGCAAATGGTGAACGCACAAGTTGGAAAAATGTTTAGAAAAATATAGAATAAAATATATTAGAAAATTGTATTAATAAAATTATTAAAGCGAGTTATCTAAACTTACAAATGGGGGTTTTAATAATACCATAATAAATATATTTGTGTTGATTTTAAAACGTTATTAATAGTGTAGAGTAATTAAATGTTGCTTGTAAATAAATAAAGTCTTTACAAATTCTAAAACTCATTTAACGATTTATTTCCAATCGAAAAATCTACAAACTTTCCTTAAAAAAAAAAAGTCCACAAATTTCTTTTGGAAATGAACCAAAGATAAAATTCAATGGTTAATCCGCAAATGAACAGGGGAAAATTGAACAGTTCCAAAATGAACAAAGAAAGTTCGAATACGTTCAAGGAAAATAGGAATTCATTTCATATTTTTCTTGAACATACTCGAACCTTCTAACTTCGAAAAATCAAAGTTTATATACCCTTGGCAATGAATTATACCTCGTATCGAAAATTGATCATAAAAAAAGCTTGAAATATTCTAATTCTTAAATAATATTAATCGATATTTTTATATGCATTTTTTTCGACAAATCAAAATTTAAAATACTTATAACTCAGCCAAAAAAGCATTAATTTTAGTTCGGAAAGCAGTTTTAAATCTACATACTCTTTTAAAAATCAAAAAATTTGAAATTTTTTGTCTTTTTTTCGACAATTTTAGCCGTTAAAAATTTTCATAAATTTTGAAAAAAAATTCAATTTTTATCGAACATAGCTAGATCGATTTAGCTGTTTATGCTGATCAAGAACATATATGATTTATAGGCTTGGAAATGACTTCTTCTTCTGATTTTTAAACTTTTGACTGAAATTATAATACCCTGCAAAAGGTATAATGAAAAGAAAATGACTAAAAATAGGTATTTATTCGAGAATGAACCAATAAACCAGACCAAATCGAAGTTTACTAAGCCTAAAATAAACAAGGAAAATTCTAGTATCACAACTCTATAACTTCTTCCGATAGCAATGTTAATTGTTTCTTTGGGTGGTATTTAGGAATAAAAGCATATACATATTAATATTAGAAAAGGTTTGAAATTAAAGTGAAATCTTTTGATTATTTACGCTACACTTTTTATTTTAATAGTTATATTAAGTCAAGAATTGAGTTCGAAATGTCAAACTAAGTAAGATATAGGATTTGTATTAAGAAAATCCACATACAAAATCAAATTTTAAAAGACCTTTTTCTAATTATTCTAATTCTATTTTAATTATTAATTCTCTTTCGAAAAATTCGAATATTCAATTGGGAATAAATTTATGAGATATTTAAGAAGGATAATGTGAAAATACTGATATTAAAAATTATCCAAATGACAAGTGAATTTAGTGAATCTTTGTTTTCAATTTAAGCTTAAAAAAGATCAATTAAAAATTGGTTTAAATAAGATCAAATAATGTCTTCTCAGTATCTACTTCTAGTGCTTTCCATCTATACTCACGCCTTGGACGTTGTATCCTCGACGACCACATGCTCGGCCACAATCATATCGTTTCCATCCAGCTCCGAGGTGACCTCCATTACCAGCTCCTCGAACTTGCGTCCCGTTTTTGTGGAGCCCACACCAGCAGCACCTCCTCCTCCAGCAGTAGCACCATTACCACCACTACCAACACTACCACCTCCTCCTGCATCGCCTGCTCCCGCCATCGTTGTTGTATTGGAGCAACTTTTGGGTGATCTAACTCGTTGCTGCTGCTGCTGCTCCATCACCGTCGATCCCATTGGATGACTTGAACCGGCAACCGTTGCTGAGCCTGAGGATGTGGACGAGGCGGAACTACATGGCGATGTGCTGACCGTCGTTGCCGTCGGCGTGACACTGCCCTCCGTCGGTCCCAATCCCAAAGCCTGGTTATGATTCTGATTGTGCGGCGACAGATGAGGAAATTCATCAAACTTGAAGTTGAGCAACCAGGAGAGATTCTTGTCTTCGAAATCCGCCTCAGAGGCATCGGTTCCCAAGCCCGAGCTGGAGCCGGAGGAAGTGCGTCTGCCCGCCGTCAATATCCTTTGCTTTTGAGGCACCAAAAAGTTCTGATTTTGTTGGGAATTCTGGCTTGGATTGTGGCTGGTATTCTGATTTAGATGCTGGCTGGGATTCTGATTTAGATGCTGGCTGGGATTCTGATTTAGATTCTGACTGGAATTCTGATTTAGATTCTGACTGGAATTCTGATTTAGATGCTGGCTGGGATTCTGATTTAGATGCTGGCTGGGATTCTGGCTGTGATTCTGACTGGGATTTTGACTTGAATTCTGTTGCTGCTGCTGCTGCGGCTGTGGCGGTGGCAAGGTGGCATTCAGGTGACTCAACTCCGCCTGCAGTCCCGAGTTGTAGCGATGATCCAGTTCCAGGAGTTCACCGCCCGTCCAACCGCCATTATCCTCCAGCGGTGCATTCGCCGGCGGACAATGGGAATAGGCGCCGGCGGCAACGGTGGCTGTGGCGGCGGGCACCAGGAGACTGCTATCGTAGGCAAACAGATCGTTGATGAACGAGGAGCTGGAGGTGGTGGAGGAGGACGAGGGAGCAGCGACTGTGGCTGCACCTGTGGACGGCGGTGGCGGTTCCAATTGCAAATGAAACTGCAAATCACCGGCATCATAATCCAAATGACGTTTCTTCCAAGGATTTGCCTCAATGGCCTCGTAATCGTGACCCAAGGCCAGCTCTTGATCCTCCTCGTACTTGCGCTTAAGGAAATGTCCATAGTCACCGGTAGCTCCTCCATTATTCTGATTAGTGGCCTGGATATTGTTGTTGTTATTGATATTGTTGTTGGTTGCACTACCTGCCGCGCCATTGACGGGCATGTTGACAATCATGGTGTTGATGGTCCTGGTCACGAGGCAAGTTCCAATAAAAAACAAAAAACACAGACACGACAAAAAAAACAAACAGATATATCAAATATTGTCCGGAGTTTTGTGTGTCGTTGTAGCTGGAGAAGCAAGAGGAGCTGGTCCGACCTGGCTACCGTCTCGCGCTGCGACTGGCCACGGAATGCGAGGGTCCGCCAGGAGCCAAGCTGAGCACAACTCCCAGCTGACCTGAGCTGCGCCTGCGCCCTGCTGTCCGCTCATCATCCCTGCGCAGTGTGCACTCAGCGAAGCACAGAGGCGGCACTCCTCCCCCAACCCCCATCCTGATGGCCAGGGATGTGGCTTAGGTACCCCTATATTACCTGTAAGAACCAAAAGGTACAACTATTAGTTTTGGTATGTGACATTTTCTTGATATAATAGAGAGTTAAGGTACTCTTAAGGTCATTTTCACGGTTAAGATTAAACAAAAAGGTACTCAAATTTGGCAAATAAATAAGGTACCTCTTTTTTGCTTAAAGAGTTAAGCGAGTAGGTACATTAAATACCATATAAAGTACCACTCTAAGCGAGTAGGTACATTAAATACCATATAAAGTATCACCATTAAAACACTTTCAGGATATTACATATAATTTTAGTCAGAAGCTTGTAACGCTATGAAGGAGTCATTTCCGACCCCATAAATCATATATATTCTTGATCAGCATCAACGGGCAAATCTTTTTAGCCATCTCCGGCAGACAAAAAAGATTTTTAATTTTTTTTCTAAATTTTATATCATTAAAATTGCCAAAAATTGAACAAAAAATTTAATTTTTTGACATTTTAAACTGAGTATGTAGATTTATTAATCTAATAAAAACTAACATGGGACAAGTTTCCGATTTAAAATTAATGCTTTTTTGGCCGAGTTATGAATTTTTTAATATTGATTTTTAGAAAAATTTACATATGAAAATAGCAATTAATGTCGTTTTAAATAATGTGATTATAATAATGCTATATAATGATGGATTTCCAATTCGTTACTATAATTAAATTCCAAATTGAAAGGGTATACATATGAACTTTGGCTTTATTTTGTGTTCGGTAAAGAACTAAGCGAGAATGTTGAATAAATAAATACTTCGAGAGTATGTTAAGTATATTATCTTCACCAGAATATAACGAAAATGTACAATAATTACTTAGAATTTGGGTTATATGCCGGACATTCTTGTATGAAGTACGAAATAATGAACAATATTTACTAGGAATATTTACCAATTAAGAAATCTACTGTTGGTTACTTATGGTACAAAAATAAACCTTGGTTTTCTTAATGTTCAAATGTTTAAGGGTTTATAAAGTCATGGAATTCTTTTTGAAAAACACTAGCAAGATAATAATTATTAGCATTAATGCTAATTATAATTAACTATATAAAAACTCACCTTATGGACAGTATTTATTTGTACCCAATATCATGTATAGAAGGTACTCCTCCTCCAGTTCAGGTACACACACCTTGGGATACCTGCTGCTGCTGCCACCACTGGCACTCTGTGTCCAGGTCATGTGCCGCCGGTTCTGCTCGGTCGCTTCGCTCAATTCCGGCCATAATCGAACACATGTGCATTGAGCCACCGAGCTGTCCGTTAGCCAATTTTCCGCTGACATCGAGAGGAGGGATAGCTGCCCCGAGACATGGGCAGGGTGCTGTGCAGCCATTCAAGCGTCTAATCGACAAACGCTTTCGGAGACACCCTACCTACACGCACCCGGCTCAATGCTCCTCCACCTCAACACGCACAGGTGTTGCACCGGCTTGTCGTCAAGGACTACGTCCCTCCATCTGTCCTGGCTGCAAAAGAAAGCGAGAGTTATGCCCAAAAGTTATCTCAACAATAAGATTAAATAGGAACACACATGTTTCCAGGTTCCAGTTTCCAGTTGGGCAGCATCTTTGATCCATCCAATCATCTGTACGAGGAAGCAGGTTAAGGATTATGTTCTGGCAAGGATTACAGTCCAGATTCTTCCACAGAGTCACTTTAAAATTGCTGCAGTTCGTCAAAATATTATTTTCAATATATATTTTCAATATAAGCTTCGATAACCGATAGGCCAGCAGCTGAGATTTACAGCTATGCAAAAAAAGATCTGGCAACCTCCTAAATGCGGTACAGTTTCCTATTCTAAATTTGAGGTTATGTCAACACAAAATCACAGAAAAACATAGATTTTAAGTAATTTGTAAAGAAATAATTGTAAGTAAGCCTTGACTTTGGCATCTCAATGCTTTTCCACTCTCCACTTTCTCATTTTCTAGTAAACCTTCAAATCACACGTATCCGGTTTTTTCCGTATAAAAAAAACCTTTGGAACACTGCAAAATTTCCAAGTGCCATTTGAAACGACGACGGAGACAAGTGAGAACCCATCAGCAATTTAGCGAGACACACATTAGCTGGAGGGATATCGACCATGTCATATCAGATCAAATCCACTCCCTACTTTCGACGCATGTTCAACAACAGCAAAAAGAATGGACAACTGCAGCGGCTGAGGGAGGAGTACGAACGGATCCAGGAGTTCAATGATCACACCATCGAGTTGAAGATGCGCCAGGTGAGACTGAAGCGGTTGTTCCGCGAAATTGAGGAGATTAAGGAGAGCGCCGGCTCCTCCTCGGTGGCCGCTGCAAATGCTGCCAAAAGAGCCCATGGTCGCGGTGTTGGTGGATCCACTTCACAGGCTGCCCGCCAACGACGCCATCAACTCCACGGACATCAACATCCTCATCCTCATCCTCATCCTCATCATCATCGTTTGAATCGATTAGCTGCCGGAACTACGCCGGAGCAACGACGTTTCCATCAGCGTGCCGATGCCTTGATCCGTTCCCGTGAACTGGGCAAGGCATTGTCGCGTCGTAATGCCCAGATGAACGAGGCCGGGGTCAGTGGATATCTCTCCCAAATCCGGAACTCGTCCAAAATGCAGGCAGTTGCCGATTTCCGGCGGGATGCCCAAGAGCGGAGGGAACGGGCAGCGAAGCGGATATCATATGGTAACGATCAGTCACGTCAGAATCTCCGGCGTCAGCTCAGGGTTTGCCAGCGACGGTTGACGGGCAAATGTCAGCCGCAACACAGTCCAGAGTCAAGGTAAGGTTTATTCCGATCAGATCAGCAATATATATAAAGCATCTTGAACATGCATCATATATAGCGAGAAAATATGATATTGTAACAACTCTTGCTCGCTCCCACGCCTTGCCTGCTATGCACAAGCAACAATTTTAGCGTTCCGTTCACTAGGGAGCGAGAGAGCTTGTATTATATATTATATAATTTATATTATATATTATATAGTTTATATTATATATTATATACATAATATAAACTTTTATATATCGACACTTAGCAAAGAGAAAATATTGTGAACTTTATTTTAAATTTAACATTGACTTTAATATATCGAAGATGTAGTTAATGTTAATGTAATAAGTCAGAAGATTGTAAATATGAGAAGGAGTCATTTCCAACCCTGTATTTCATATATATTCTTGATCAGAATCAACAGGGGAATCGTTCTAGCCATCCAAGGCACACAAAAAAAATTAAAATTTTTTTCAAAATTTTATATCGTTAAAATTACTATCGTTAAAAAACTGAACAAAAAAATCAAATTTTTTGACATTTTAAACTGAGTATGCAGATTTATTAACCCTATAAAAACTAACTTGGAACAGCTTTCCGATTTGAAATTAATGCACTTTTGGCTCAGTTATTGATTTTTTAAACTTTGATCATTTAAAAAAATTGCATTTAAAAATATACATAAATATTAGTTCAAAAATGGTAATATAATTTTATTCAAAAACCTCAAACGCCGTGAAAAAGTCATTTCCGACCCCATAAATCATATATATTCTTAATCAGCATCAACAGGCGAATCGATCTAGCCATATCTGACCGAAAACAAAATTTTACCAATTTTTTTTCAAAATTTTGTCGTTATTTTTACAATATTCAAATCTTGAAAAATTGATAAAAATTGAAATTTTAAAAAATATTATATTGAGTATGCAGATTTATTAATCTAATAAAAACTAACATGGGACAGCTTTCCGATTTGAAATGAATGCTTTTTTGGCAGAGTTATGCTTTTTTTAGACTTTGATTTGTCGAAAAAAATTCACATAAAAATATATATAAATATCGGTTAAAAAATGGTAATATAATTTTAGTCAGAAGCCTCAAACGCCGTGAAATAATCATTTCCGACCCTATAAACCATATATATTCTTGATCAGAATGATCAGCCGAATCGATCTAGCCATATCTAAACGAAAAAAATTTTTAACAATTTTTTCCAAAATTTTGTCGTTATTTTTACAACATTCAAATCTTGAAAAATTGATAAAAATTAAAATTTGAAAAACCTTATAATGAGTATGCAGATTTATCAACCTAATAAAAACTAACATAGAACAGCTTTCCGATTTGAAATTAATGCATTTTTGGCTAAGTTATAGATTTTTTAAACTTGAACAAGTCGAAAAAATTCCTTTCGTGTTTTAAAATCGAAAATATCGTAAGATATGATATATACAATATTTTAAATATCGAATAACTTTGTTATATAGAGGAATTAAACTCGTAACTCGTGTCTTATTTTCCCCCAATTATATTGATCCGATATATTAAATAGGTATTAAAATATTAAGCTAAATAAGTAAATAATTAAAAAAACATCTATTATTTGCAGTTGTTCCCACCAAGTTCGTCCGGATTATGAGCACATAACGCCCAGTCAGCTGGACATGATGGTGGACGAGGAGGATCTGGCATCGGAACAACAGCGCTACTTCCAGGACCAGGAGGAGGATGAACTCCAGGAAATTGAAGATCGTTACAGGGAGCAGGAGAAACGTTTGCGCCGTGAGGCCCGATCCTTTATCTCCTCGGAGGAGGAGGACGGACAGGAGGAATTGCGTTTCCTTCGTGGCGAGCAAACCCTATCCGATGATGACGAGAATGATGAGAATGCAATGGAGCAGTACCGGCGGAGTAAGCACCAGGAACACCTCTTGGGTGATCACAAATACAATCTAACGCTGGCCGAGGAGCATTTCCGGCTGGAGGCCTACTCCGACGATGCACCGCAGATGGATGTGAGCGCGGACAAGGACAACGATGAAGTGTCTACTCCTCAGCAGGGGGACGAGGAGGGGACAGAGGAGGAGCCACGGCGTCGGCGACTGTGCGAGAAGAGTTCGCTCCTGCCGCTGGGCCGCATCTCGCTCAGCTCCACCGCCATCGGCACAGCTCCGAGTTTCTTAAGCCATCATCATCATCATCATCATTATGAGCCCTATCAGCCAGTATCAGCCGCCTTGTCCTCCGACCAGGAAATGGCCACCGCTCCTTTGGCCAACGACGAGCAGGCAACATCACTGGTCATCCCTCCTTCAGTCAAATGCGGTAGTGTTTCGGAAACAGATGACCTGCCTGCCCTCAACAATTGGCGTCGCGTATCCCTGATGATGCCTTGGTTCAAAGTCTTTACCCCACCCAAATCCCTATCCGAGTGTTCCCAGAGCCTAAGCGGTACTATACAGGTGCCACAGCAGCAGCTCCAAGAGATGGGGGAGACACCTGAGCCGACTGAGCAAAGCATGAACTAAGAACTAAGAAAAACCTTAAGAAAAAGATGAAACCATTTCCGAGAGTACCAGAAGCTCCAAAAGAATTAACCAGTGATTACAATCCTCGCCAGATGTGGACATAGCAGCAGCCAAATTCCTTGTTAATTATCTATCCATTTTTTTTTTGTCAATAAATTTGATAATTGAGAGAACTATATTGTAGAGTAGTATTAAGAAGTATTAGAATTAAGGGTTTTAAGCAATTGGAAACATGTATAAAATATGAAATCGTCAATTATAATCAAGGACCCTTTAATAAAAAGATGCCTAACGCCCCTATACCTATTTAAATTGTCATATGCAAGCGAATTCTTAGCTGAATCTCCACTATCTGTGATAAAAGGATGCCTAGAGCCAGCAGAAAACATTTGTTTACGCAGCTTTTAATATTAATATTAACATAACATATTGTAATACGTCCTAAAAACGCTCATTATCTGGCACATAAATATAAAGAAATCATGCATTATACAAGCCTCTGTTGTATTTTTGGGTTAAGACCCTAAATGCTTATAGTTTACAAATGGTAGGAACATGCCTCTGTCTGGTTTTGATAACAAAAATGTTAAAGGTCTCTAAAACCTTGTGTGTACATATATATATATATATCAAGTATATAAATCAATCAATATCCTCCATGCTCCCAACCTGTGGGGATTCACCCTCATCATTTGCAGCCTGTAGGGCATTCTCTTCCTCCTCTTTACGTAATAGAAGGGATATCTCCTCCTTTTCTGTACCCTTATCCTTCGGTTCGCGCTCATTTAACATCTCCACCCTCTCGATTAGATCCTCAATGCGCCTGTTCTTCTCCCTTTCTTCCTTCTCGCGCAAAAGCCAAGCCTCACGAGCCTCGCTCAGTGCCAGCCTTCGTTTGGCTTTGGCCTCGTTGAAGAGATGGGCCCAGCTCTTCATAGTCTTACGATAGATCGGCATCCAAGCGACCAGCGCTTGGCGGAGGGCAGAATAGCGTTTCTTCATACGTGGCACCTTGAATTTCTCAAAGCAGGGACTATAGATGATGACATTGAATGCCACCTCGAATTCATCGTTCAGCACGGGATAGACGCGTGTCTCCAGCATTTCATGGCTAAGAAAAATGAGAAATAATAATAAAATAAATAATAAATCAATGCATTTTAAGAAATATTCATTAAAAACCAAAAGAAACCTGGGCAGACGCTCCCTCAAATAGCGATGGCGTATTCCAAAATTGCTCTTAATCTGCTGCATATCATAATGATGACTGCGTCCAGCCAGATTTGCATCCACCAGCATCTTATTAATCGATGGGTAAAACTCCTCATTCATTGAAATACGTAGGAAAACGATACGTTCCACTAAATCCAATTCTATGATGTGAGCGAAAAGCTCCTGATCGATGACAAGACGCTGGAATTGTTCCATACTATCCGGTGACCAGTGCGGACCCAATGGATGAATATAAGCGAGGGTTCCACGAATGGCCAGCTCTGGCATTACACCAAATATATCCGATAGATAGCGTAAATCAGCAGCTAAAACATCCGTGGAATAGCCATAGTCCAGGTAATAGATGGAAACGCTATTAGCACCTGATGGTGGAGTAGCCAAGATTCTAGCCCGACGCCAGATACCATCCAAACGAATGGCACAAATGTTATTAGCCTTAATCAAGCATTTCGGCATTACGGCGCTCAAAAAGTTCGGGTTATTCTGGTAGAACATGCTGATGGGGGAGAATAGAAAGCCAGAATGGAAGGTTAATGTCAAAATAAATGCTGCTCCATCGAAACTTACTTCATGCCCGTTTCCATATCAAAAAGAGCTGCAGTGTCAAACATTCCACGACCCACCACATTGAACCAAAACTGAAAGGGGGTGTACACCTGAAGGGGAAGGAATTAATAAAATAAAAGATATATATATATATTAAATAATAACAAATAACTCACATGGGTTACGCGAATCTTAAGGTAATCCTTCACCGGGCATATCTCCTCAAGTGGCATAGTCGGCAGCTTGAAATCCCGAGAGATGGCAGTCAGGGGTTTGTCCACCAAAAACACAGAGTCGGTCTGCAAGTAAAGATTATCAACATGCTCAATTAACAATAAATTTCCACAAAGAAAATGTGGAAACTCACCAAGCACCACTCTGGTATGGCTTCCTTAAGTTGCAGATTTTGGAAACCCTCTATTATGGCATCCAAAGCCTTCTGCTCCTTCTGCTGCTCCTGCTCATCCGGCTCCTCCTCTTCATCATCATCGCTGTATATAATCAACGAGTACTCGGGCAGAGCCTCCATAGCCCCCTGCTCGTACTCGTTGGCATTTAAGGACTGACTGTAAAGCCATTTATTTATGTGACAAACCCTGGCAGTGGGAATGGCGTTAATCATGGCAAGATTGTCAGCATTTAGCTCCTTGGTGGGCAGATAAGTGACCAATGCGGGAAATTCGGGGTCATACACTTCGGATATCTCTGCCAGTTCCATGTTTCCCTTCACGTTGAATGCATGCTGTGTTTCATCAGTTGAAGATGAATACTTGCTATGTGAATGACGGTAACCCAGATTTCGTGTGGGCGAAACCTTCCAATATAATTGAGCTGAGTTCTTGCTCTGTGAATGCGAATCGTTGCCGTTTGAAGAGACAAAATCTATTGTATGCAAATGAGAATTATTGATGGGTGAACCAGGAGAATCCTTGTCATGTGTAGGCGTATCATTGTTAGTTAAAGTTGAATTCTTGTTAAAGTTTATCAAAGTTGAATCATTGCTGCGTGATGGCGGAGAATCATTGCTATGTGAAGGAGAATTCTTTTCCTGTGGAGGAGCAGAAGCTTGGCTCTGAGGCCCTTCCAAAGATGAAGAAGAATCCTTCATTTCCTTCACGTCCATCGACTTTGACACCTCCTTTACCACATTCGTTTGTGGTGCAGCTTCCTTGGGAGGAGAATCATCATTTCCCTGAGGCTTTTCACAAGCCTTCACGTTCTCCACGTTCTGCTTTCCAATCCCTTCATTGCATTCAGACTCCTCGTAACCCATATAGGAGAGGGGACTGTTCTTGTGCAGCTACAAAAAGGGGAAATAGGAAAATACAGCTCAAGTTACTAAGAATGACTTTACACCAGACCTTGCCAAAGAAAGTGAGAGGCACACTGGACTCCGAAGGCTTGGTTACATTCTTCGCAGGCGGGACTGATCGTAAACGCCTGGGATCCAGCTATAAATAGAGTATAGAGTTTATAGTTTGATTACTGCGTGTTATTTCGAAATTCCTCACCCAAAAGGACGGCATCACAAGCTCATCCTCCGCCTCATCCTTCTCCTTTTCCTCCTGGTCGGCTTGCTCCTTCTCAAAATCACGTGTCGTGCTCACTTCTTCATCAATTTCTGTGTTTACAACCTTAAAGCGCAATGAGAGGTGTTCTTGGGAAGGTTGAGCCACATCCGAGGAAGACGATGGCTCCAAAGAGTTCCCAATTTGCCCTTTGCTGGATGAATAAGCAGCTTTAGAGGTAGATGGCAGCTCGTAGAGGCTCTGGGAGTACGGTTCATTGAGTTTTTGATTAGGTTGAGCCACATCCGAAGAAGATGATGGCTCCAAAGACATTCCAAATCGCTCTTTGGTGGAAGAATAAGCAGCTTTAGAGGTAGATGGCATCTCGTAGAGGCTCTGGGAGTGCGTTTCATTGAGTTTTTTATTAGGTTGAGCCACATCCGAGGTAGATGATGGCTCACAGGTGCCCCCAAAGGTATTATTAAGCTGTTTTGCCAGGATAACGATATAATACAATATAATATAATACATACATATATACATCTCTCTCCCTCTAATTCAAAACTCACCTCTTTATTAGCGTCTGTTTCATTCCCTTTTGAGGATGTTTTGGGCAAATCAAAGCCCATTGAGACTTCTTCACCCATTTTCTTAGGCAAACGATCGGCTTGATTCGATTTAAGCTCCTAAATATTGAATATATATGTTATTTAGAGAACAAGGTTGACATTTTAATCACAGCTTACTTGTTGTGGGTTAACAGTTTGAGCACTTGAGGCTATGTAGCTTCCTTTGCCTTTATTTATTTCCTCACGATCCCCTTCATCTGAGCTCAGGATAACCTAATATCGTATATAGAGTACAGATCAAGGGATTTTTGCTTACATGGGTACAAAATACAAGCTTACTTCGTACGAGTCCAAGGAAGTTGAAGACAAATCTACAAGCTTGTCCACATCTTGGCCCTGTTCCTCAAGAACTGTCTCCGATTTGATTACCTTATATGTATAACAGATATCGAGAGATATTTTAAAAGAGGAAATATTAAACCTCACATTATCGGTGGCAGCCTCCTTGGCAGTATCTTCCACTTGGGATGGCGGCACTAAGGAGCTCTCATTGCTAAGGTTCTCCAAGGGCTTTGGATTAGTCTCTTGGTTGCGGAGTGCCTAATAATTTAGGAGTATTCCAGTAAATTGAAGATCAAAAGATACCACTTAAAGCGAAAATTACACACAACTCACCATTTTGGTGATAAAATCAGCTTTGTTCCATGGCTTGTCAGGTTCGCACATGGTCTCTGTTGTGCCATCCACTTCCTTCGATGCCTAATACATATAGTTAATTAAGATTTTCAATATTTTCATTTGTTGAAAAGTAAAAAGCGGTGCTTACATTTTCGTCGGCGTTCTTGGCGCCACAATCGCCGTTGGTGGAACTGCATTCTGGTGCCATCATCTCCTCACCGGGACTTAATTGCTCCGGCTTTAATTTCGAGCTCATAATCGTTTATTGCTCAGAACTTAACTTGCTTATGCAAATTTAACAATTGTTAAATTCTTGTCAAAAAGTGATGGGTGAAGGAAAACTTAACTGTAATTTCTTCGAAGCTTATATGGCAACGCCGGCTGCGCTTGACAAACGGTATTGCCACTATCGTTAAAAACTTTGTCACTACAAACGTTGGTATATGGTATATTTTTTAATACATCTATATTATTTACTATATTATTTACATTTATCATATTTTTGCAGAATTTTCTAATTGTATAAATTACTAAAAATACCGGCAACTGTAAAAGGCTGTTCCCATACAAATTGCTTATTTGATTTTTTCAGTATTTTTAGTTTTGTTTTTAGTATTTTAACCATTATTTTTTTCGAGTGACAAGTGACCAGCTGTCGATAATCGATATCGATAAGCTCGAGATTTTCACCGGTCGGCACGATTGGCCACACTGCTTGGCAACAAACGGAGTCGAAACGAAAATTAAAATTGAAACTTCAATCGACGTCCAGAACAATCCTGTCATTCTCGAGCAAAGTGTCACAAAGTTTTCTTGCCTTCACTTGTGAAGTGCTAACCTATTTTGTGTTCACTTTTTTTTCCGTTCATTTTTTCGTTTTGTTTCTCCGAGAAAATCAGAGAAAAATTAACAAAAAAAAAATTAAGAGAATATTAAACGCGATTGAGAAGCTAACTTGCTGTTAGCAGTTAGCTAGCATGGACGAGGAGAATCAGGTGAGTGCCGTCAAATTAGGTTTTTCTTGGGGATTTTCTGGAATTTTGGTTTTTTTGTTTTGCTGGCTTTGCCCTCGCAGCTGGAGCGTGAGCTCGAAAACGCGGTGGCCAATATGCCGCCAGTGCCGAACTTGGGCAACGCTGAAGACGCAGATACCAATGATGAAAACAATCTAATTGTGGCTGCCAGCGGTCAACCGACGACGGCTGGGCAGGATGAAGGGGAGCAGTCGGAAGGCGGGCAGAATAGGGCCGAAGCCCGTCAGCAGCACCGCGAAGCTGTGCGCCAGCGTTTGCTAGATTCTCCCGCCGCTACCGCCGCTGCCGGCGCTGGCAGCATTGAAGATTTGACAACTATTGAAATAATGTCATCGAATGATGATGATTCGGTACCGGACGCAGTGCCGTCATTAGCAAATCGCAATACTGCCACGCCGAAGGCCACAACGGCCCAAAATGATTCCAGCAATGATGACGACGACGAGGACAAGGACAAGGACAAGGAAGAGGACGATAGCTATGACGAGAATGATAATGATCAGGATAATCGCGTGAGCGATGATTCGGACAGTGAGGAGGATAACCTTCACTACTCCACCACCGAGGATAGCGATGACGATGCACAGGAGGCCAATTTTCAGAAGATGCTGAAGGAGCCCGAGAAGCCATTTTCCCAACTGGTGAAACTATGCGAAGTTGCTTTGTAAGTTTCTAAATCTTTTGTTTAAGTCTAGTTCTTGGTCCAAGTTTGATTTCCATGTATTTGTATATATTAGAGGAATTTTCTCCGAATGTACCCCTGGGGCTTGGGTTCTTCTTGAGTCTCGAATTCCCTAAAATATTTATTTATATTAGTTCTGTGTGGAATAAGCCTAAAGATAAGCTCCAGGATCTCGAATTGCATGGGAAGGGGGGCCTTGGCAACTGGGCTTTTATTGCTTATTTGTTTATCTTCAAGTTACCTAAGCATAAAACCTGATTAAGAGATTTTTAAGCTACGATCTTGGCAATTTATAACTTCTGTATTAATTTATAGTTGTTTCAAGCTTTTATACCTATTTATGTTCTAAATTTTGTATAGCAGGCTCTTATTTCAGCACTTTGTGCCCAATTCTAACTAAATCCTTATTTATTTAAACTAAAACCTTCAAATTCCTATAGTTAATACCTAAATATGTTGTAAATTTATGAAATTATGTCTAGTCTTGACTTAAAACCCATTTATATTTCTAAATTTAATGACTTAAACCATCTTCCATTTCGCAGTAAACTCAAGGATTTTGATAAAATTGAGTTGGCCTTAAAAACTATTAAGGAAGAAGCCACTGTGCCGGCCCACATCTGGGTAAAATATCTCAAGGCTTACCATGTGGTAACCCAAACTCCCGAGGAACATAAGCAGTTTGAGATTAAATGCTGCACTGCCCTGAGCTTCCACTACAGTGAGTACACAAAAAATCTTCTTTGAACTTTAAGAACTCCTGAACAACATATATTTTCCATTCCCACAGATATACCGCTGGCCGAGTTTATTGTTGGGTACCTGGAGGATCACACTGAGCAGCTGGAGAGCTCTCGTCTTTGGGTTAAATTGATAACCGATTATGATGTAGAGCGTCCCGACTTTGGTTTAAAGCTACGTGAAAAGATTGCACGGATGACGAGTAATGTGACGCGTAACGCATACTTGGAGCCCCTTAGAAATGATTGCGCCACATGGACATTGAGTATGGATGATCGGCAGGCCATCATTGATGTGGTATCTAACTTTAAGACGCACATTGCCGACATGAAGATACAGCAAACCGACTGGGATTGGGCAAAAATGCATACGCCATACGTTAATGATGTCTTGGCCTTGAACCTGAATAACTGTGTTAAGAACTCAGTTATTCGGTTCATTTTCGAACGAACCGTATCAAAATTCCCCACCGCTGATGCCTTGTGGTTGGCCTACATTCAATTCGTATTGGGTGATGATATTGATGATAATGTGGATGTGGATGAGGCAGAGCTAGCCGCCCAAACTGCTAGCCGCATTGGAAAGGGTTTCCTGCAAAGCACAGGCGTTGACTTGGCCAAGCGTGCTTTTCGCTGCCGTCCCACCACTCGCCTCAATCATAAACTTCTTGCCCTGATGGAGCTTGAAAACTTGGATCTGGCATCGGTGAATGAACAGTTTCAAGCCATGGTGAAACGTACGTCAAGGAATCTGCTCATGACTGTGGAGCTGTATTTGGATTATTTGGCGTATCGCATTCGGAACACCAATGCCGACAATGCCAGCCAGGTTACCAGTCTTCGCGAAGCCTTCTTTAAATCCTGGGAGGATTTATCTGAGCTTTATGGCGATCAGGCGGACACCAGCTACGAGATCCTGCAGCTTTGGGCTCAGGTTGAGTATTCTCATCTAAGGAGTCCCTCCAATGGTTACAATATATGGCGTCAGATATTGGGTAAGTTTTGCACTCTACCTTTCGAAACCTCTATTGAATCTCTCTCTTGCTCTCCAGGCTATCCCGGCACCAATTTGCGCGGCCAGCTTTGGGTCAATTTTGCGCAAATGGAATCGGAATACAATGGTGGTCAGGGCACCCGTGATATACTCCAGGAGGCGCTCGCTCAGCCCTATATGTCAGATGGGCAGATGGTCCATGAGCTATTCCGTCGCTACGAACGCTGTTTTGGCAATTATGATACCATTGCCGCTTGCCAGGCAACGAATATACCGTCAGATTATGCGGCAATGGAATTTCATTCACGTAGCCAAAACAACAGAACTTTCTCTTCGAGACGCTCAAGGGCAAAGAAGACCACGGACAAAGATGAGTCTAAACAGACCGAAGAGCAGAGGAAATCTGAGAAGCAGGAAGCTGACAAAAAGGAAGCTTCAGGGTCAGCTAAAGCGGATGCTGCTCCAGTGCCAGCTAAGTCGGAAGCTCCTTCGGCAGCCAAGTCGGAAGCTCCATTACCCGCAGCCAATCCTTTAGCCAAACTCGTAACCCAAACATATTCACCTAAATCGAGTGGCTTCGAAGTCCGTCCATTCTATTCCAAGTATTCACGTGAGTCACTTGTCCTAAAAAATCACTTGAATTGAAAATTAAAATATGGTTTAACCTTTTGCAGACGATCTGGAGGCCAACAAGGTCTTTGTTAAGAACGTGCATCCGGACTGCACCAAGGCAGAGTTGGGGCAACTTTTCAATAACCATGGCAACATCAAGGATGTGCGCCTGATCTTCAAGCGGTGAGTTTTAGCTCTCGCTCTCTTTCTGAGATATGCATCTTATTTTTTTATGTTCATTCCGCAGGAAAGGTATGAGGGGCATAGCCTATGTGGAGTATGATAAGCCGGAGGAGGCTAACAATGCTGTGGCTAAGCTAAATAACCATAAACTACGCGACATTGCCGTGAGTATTAGTGATTATTGATAACTACTTCCTTCATTTTTAACATTTCCCTGCTTATTTCTTTGCAGATTTCTGTTATGATATCTAACCCACCGCCAAGGGCTAAATCCCAAGGTTTTCCAGCCTCTAATGGCAACGTGGGGGTGGCCAAGGTGGCCCCCAAGAGACGTATGCTTACCTCACTGATACCCACAACCGTGGTACGTCAGGAGGCTGAGGCGGCCAAGAAGCGCCGCATTGAGTCAACCCAGGATGCGGACGACGCTAAGCCATCCACATCGGCTGCAGCTACATTGGCTGCAGCCACATCGGATGCAGCCACATCGGATGCAGCCACATCGGATGCAGCCACATCGGTTGCATCTACTTCGGTTGCAGCCACTTCTGGTGCATCCTCATCGGATGCAGCCACATCGGGTGCCTCCACATCGACTGAATCCAATGGCAAACCAAACCAGTCAGCACCCAAGACGAATGACGACTTTCGCAATATGTTTTTCAGGCACTACTAGGAAGGTCAAGGGACATCCATGGAGAGAGGAACAGAGGATTAAAACAAAAGAAGACTTGAAAAACCAACACGAATACCCAACTGAACCAAAACTGTAATTGAATGTACAAAAACCAATCAGACGTAAGACCCTTGATCTACATTATTCATTGGTTCGAAATACTTAAACATTATACATTTTGAAATGTAAAAAAAAAAAGAGAAACAACAACCTGACACAAACCTGAAACAAATTACAATAAAACACGACAAAAAAAAAATAGAGCAAAATGTTGTTTTCAATTTGGGGAATTATTGTTACTTTATATAATATCTTTTCAACTTGATTTTAACTACGTGCGAAACTTGACGCTCTTGCTGACGGTGGCCTTAATGCCAGACATTTCGCCGTCATAGCGTTTGGTCTCCTTGCGAACCGTGCGGACGGCACCCTTGCGCCGGATGAGAGCCTTGCGATATTTGCCGCGATGCTTCACACGAGGATTACGCAGCTCCTTCTTGCGATGCGGTGTTAGGCCCTTGTTCTTGGCCATTTGGTAGGTTATGCCGCGTCGATTCGCCTCGGAAGTTTCATCTTCCTCGTCTTCGACTTCATCTTCGTCCTCCTCCAACTCGTTTCCATTCTGATCCTTCGCTGCTGCCGCTTCCTCCTCATCGCTGAGCTCAGCTGCCGCCACCTCGCCATTGCTGTACTTATTCAGTATCTGCAGCTTGGCTTTGCGCTGGGCCACATCCAGGACAGTGAATGCATCACCGTCCTGAATCCTCTCTAGCAGTGCCTCCAGCTGTGGCCTTATGTACTCCTCGAAGCGTGGCGTGAGTTGCTCTCGCAGTTGCTTCAGCTGAACCAAACGCTTGACCACCGGATGATGCTTGACACTGCTCCGGCGTGCCTTTAACAGCAGATAGAAGGCCACGTTGGAGCAGTAGGTGGTCAGGACGGTGTGATAGGTGCTGGCAAATTGCAGAGCCGGTACCAGGGGCACACCGTGATTACGAACATAGTTGAGAACAGGCGTTATCAGCTCCCGGACGTCCGTCAAATGACGCTGAAAGTCCTGCGTGAGGCCAATAAACTCAGGTGAGTCCTTCTGCAGCAGCTGGAGACGCTCGCGGGCAGAGAGACCGGTTAGATCGCTTGTGATCTTAATGCCAGTCTTGCCCTCTTGCTTTCTGGATTTCTCCTCCTCATCGGAATCGTCATCGTCCAGGGGTTGGACGTCGTCCAACTGGAAATCAGCCTCACTGAGACGCTTGGCCAGTCGCAGCTGTATCTTCTTGGCCTCCTCCTCCTCGGCACGGGCCTGCTCCTCCTCCTGGGCATTGTAGCTACTGTAGTCCTGGTCCACAAAGTCCGTGTTGTAGTAAGTGCTCCGCTTGCTGCCCCAGTCCATGGTATTGGGCAGATCTCCATCCTCATCCTCGGCCCCCTCGATGTCGCTGTCGCGCATCAGTGCCGTCACATCCTCGTTTTCCCCATCCTCATCATCGTCGTCGTCGTCGTCGTCAGTGAAAGCCAGTACCTCCTGGCGGGGATCCTGCTCTTGCCGGTTCTTTCGCTGCTTGCGCAGATCCTCTAGGATCTCGCGCTCCTCCTCATCGTATTCCTGCTCCGATCCGGTCAGCTCATAATCATCACCGTCGCTGTCCATTCTTTTAGATTTAAATTAAGGTGCACAAAAAAAAATAATAAAGTGCACAACACGTGCGTGGTAAACAAACTCGGCGATAACGATAAGATAAATACTAGAAACTTTCAGAAAATACTGATGAGAAAAATACTGTACTGTAAATACTATAAGTTGGTATATTTTAGTATACGGAGTCACACTAATCGTTGGAAAATACTGATAAGTAAAAATACTGGTCTTTAACTACTAAAGGTTAGTATATTTTAGTATATGGAGCCACACCAATCGTTGTACACTTCCTTCCGTTTCACGTTTTTGTTTATGAAAATGAAAAAAATGTTGATCAGCTGTTGGCAGCTGTTTCAAAATATTTTAACAGAATTATAACAGTTTGTTCTAAAACGAATTTTATTTAAATTCGATTTATATTCCTTGTTAGAACTTATCGATAGGTTAATATCGTTTCGTTACACTGTAACTGGGCGCCAGTTTCAAAAAACTAAAATCAAACTTCTTTCTTTGAAATTACATAAACCATTAACAAAAGTTTCAACACAATTTTAAATACGAAATACGAAAAATGCATCCCTTTCTAAATATCCTAAATCATATCATTAATCATTACCTATAATTTGTGCAAAGGTTTTTGATAAGTTCTTTTTTGATTTTGAAGGCTTGTTGTTGTTTACTCCAATTTTTTTGCTTTTACAATTTTGTTTACGCCAAAGTAATTTTTGTTAACGTGCCGCCGGCAACGTCGGACCCTAATTCTTTCCCTTCTTCTTCTTTTTGGGAGCCAGATAAAGCCAAGAAAATAAATAGTATTTGCCAGCTAAAAATAGTTTTCGGCAACAAAACAAAAAGCAATTTACAATTATGCTGAATGGGAGTTGCTAAGCTAAGGCACTGCAAAAAAAATTGATCAAAATTATGCACCTTAAAAAGGTTGCCTTACAAAATTAACAGTTAAATATAATATTATAATAAAATATAATACAAGGATACACTATAAATTTATATGACATGATAATATTTATTTCCTGTCTTGCCTTTTGCTCTGTCTTCCTTTTTTTCTCTGTGTTGTGGATCTCCACTTGGCACTTGAGAAGCTTTCAATCGCACGACATCAGGGTTATATAATACATATACATATATATATATTTATGTATATATGTACATATATATGTCTGTATAATGCCGGTGTGGATTACTGAAGACTCTCACATGCTTTTTGTGTTTGTTTAGATTTTTCACATGTTTTTGTTTTGTTTTGGTTTTATTTTTTTGGGGCAACGTGTTGTTGTTTTCCGTTTTTTCTTCTCCTTTTCCAGAAGAATGTTATTTGTTGTTGTCGAAGGTCAATTGCACAAGCCCTAAAAGTGTGTTTATTGGCCATAAATTAGAGATTAATTTAATTAATTTATCATTATCACGAGAAGGGCAGAGACCCAGTGGCATAAATCTTTCAGCTCCTTCAATTTAAAGCATTGATTAATTTTTAGAAAACATTAAACCAATTTAACTTTGCTGTTTTCTAGATTAAAATGTATTGTAAACATTAAAAAGTATTCCGAAACCTAACCTCTTAAGTTGCAGTTGTTGTCAAACTGTCGCCCGTTACACGAAGTTCCTCTCTCTCTCTCTCTCTCTCTCTTTATCTCTTTCCCTTTAACCAAACATCTTCGTAAAGCAAAATTTCCAAATCTGTGTTTATTCGTTTGCTTTTCTTATTTTCATTTCGTATTTACTTTTAGACCCTAATCTTTACAATAAAGTTTGGGACTTTGGGGCGGGCTTTTATCTCTAGATTTTTGGGTTTTGTAACCCGCGATGGTCAGAAAAGTCATGTGTTGTTTTTATTTTCCCCCCAATTTTGTTTTTTCGAAGGGTTTTATCAGGGGCCATTATAAGCAGGTCGCTGATAAGGCGACCGTCAGCTGTAATTTAATTTATTATACAGGGGAAGACAAAATATATCAAAGTATTTGTAACCCTTCCTGAGATCCTTCTGGAATTCTGCCCTTAAATGCAAATTGGAAAAGTGGAAAATGGAAAGCCTACCCCAACATAATAGAAAAAAGGATGCGTTGCAAGTGGCACGTAGTCGCTCTACGTTTTACATTGTTTTTGTTGTTTTGCTTTTGGTGCAGGCAACTGGAAAACTCACTCACACACACACACAGACCCACACGACGCAATTAAATTTGATGTCATTGTATGCAAAGAGTAGAAGAGAAAGAAGAAGATGAAGAGGAAGCCCAACTCGACCCGTTGCGACTCTGCCAGCGTCGCTGCCGCTGCCGCTGCCTCTGTCGCCGGTGTGACGACGTGCCAAAATCCGCATACGGAAAATGGCAACCACAAAAACCAGCAAAAGGGGTGAACGATTGCAACAACAAAAGCGGAAGGGGACGCATGCTGCTCTGTTTTGCTATCTTTTCCTCTCCTTTTGCATCTTCCTCTTCTTTGGATGCGCTCCACATGTTGCTGTTCTCATTCTAAGCCGGCTTTGGGGGACGCAACACGTACGCCAAAAAAAAAAGCTGAAAGGAAGAAGAGAAACCACAACGAAAACAATAACAAAAAACGCACACAGACGTACACACGCACATCAATTTAAATGGCGTTGCGGAAATCTGAAATGGCATTAAAAAAAAAGAAGAAAACCAAAAACAAAACAAAGACCTTGAAAAGTGCGACGAGAAGAGCGCCGAAATTCGAAATGGAAACGCAAAAGCTGAGTTCAAAAATCAGTGAATTCTACATTTTTTAAATGTAGTAAATTCTATGTACATATGTATGTAATATATGTATGTATATATGTATGTATATACACGTGTGCGTAAACAACAAGCTCTCCATGCCGATTAGAAGCCGGCACACGCCCAGAGTAACCGAAAAAAAACAGAAGCAAAACTATAAAGCGGACTTACAATTACAGTACAGTAAGAACTGCCTAAGATGTACAGGTTGTGAAACATTAAAAATCTTAAATAATTAATATTCTGCGACTTTCTTAGTGCAGTTTTTACTGTTGTTTTATTAGATGTACTTATTTTATAGAGCCAGAGGGCGCCTATTACGCATTTTAATTGAAATTTGAGTTCATAGACATCTCTTCCATTTAGTATTTAATATTCGTGGGTGTGTGGGTACGTATGTATAAATGTCGTGTGGCTGCAATTATTACCTCTGACTGATGTTTATTCTTTTATTTATATAATTTATGTAATTTTGTAGCGGGCACATGCTAAAATGCACTTGCATTCAAATGAGAGACCCCGTTTTGGTGGTCATATGTTTGCATTTGTGTTTTGTGTTGTTGTCCCTGGACCTGGCGTTACGTGACGTTATAGCAGTCAGCCGATGCGCCGGTTGTTCTCGCACACGTCCACCCCAGAGACAAGTGACGTTTATGCGCAGCTTAAGATCATGATAACTCGAAATTAACCATATATGATAATCAAACCTAAACGTAAAGGTGACCAACATTTCAGTAATATGAAGAAGATATATGTATTTTGCAATAACTTTATTTTACAAGAGACGCTTATGCGCAGCTCAATATCATGATAACTTTAATTTTGACATATATAATAATTAAACTTAATCTTACGGTTAACCAACATTTCAGTAACATGAAGAAGATGTACAGTTTGTCATATAATTCTTTACAAAATGAAAAATGACATACAAATTATTTTTTAAACTGAAAATGTGTGGACAAAAAGCATTTAAAAATGTTGTTTTTGGTTTATATAAAAAATTATGTATGAGCTAAAAAAAAACATATTTCAACAAGAATCATAATGTAAAATAAAAATTTCGCATAATCATTAGTGTTTATTAAATCCTAGTGCAGTTATCATGTTTTGAGCTGCGCATAAACATTGTTTGGAAACTTCCCGGCGACTGACACGCACACACACGCAAACACATGTTCGAGCCAAAGTTTTTGCCTCCGCAGAGTGCAGTGCACCCGACGTCGACGCCGACTGCGCAGCTGGGGGTTTTCTAATTTATCCCCCCCCCTTACTTTTTCTTCGTAAGAAAAGTGCAACAGTGGCTGTAAAACTGTTGCTATGTGAGGCCTTCAGCGTTTTTTTTTTTTTGTTTAAACTTGATAGCAAGTGAAGCGAATTAAATAAACGAGATTGGAATTTGGATCAACATCTAGATAATTCCCGCTAATTTCCACAGGCTGCTGCCTATATTAATTAAAATCACTCCTTTTCTCATTATTTTTTCATTGTTTCGCCTTTTTTCGGCATTTGTTATATACAAACAAAAGAAAAATTTACATGTATGGGTATATTTTTTGGGTCCAAGTCCACTGGCGCTCTATTTGATCAAGTCTATTATACAATCGTCAGACCCACACTTACACCGGCTATAAAGTGTGTGCCTAAACACAGTGTGGGTCCCAAAAATAGAAGCGAACAAGTAAATAACTATTTCGAAATTAGTTGCTTTAATTTTGAAGAAATAAAAATTATATTAATTGGTTTAATTTCATCTCAAAAGTATTAAAAACTGGAAACATTTTTTAACTAAATATTAAGAAATTCTAAAATGTTGACTGTGAATATGAGGCAATGAAGTAGAACAGAAACTGAAAAACAGAAAACCCAAAACTTGCTCACGGTTCCACTGAATGTGTGCATGTGTGTGTGCGTGTGTGTGTGTGAAGGGTGATTGCGGGCATATTGTATTGGAACGACAGTTTGTCACACGCAGCGACCTAAATACGCATTTTTTATGATATTTGGTTTTTTAATTTTGTTTGTGTGGCTTCTTTCGTTTACATTATCAATGGGAAATTGATGTGCATCGTGTATGTGCGTGTTTACATAATGCATTTTCTTTTCTTTTTTTGGCATTTAATTTTAAGCGAGGTTTTACAGCCACTGGAACAAGTCTTGTTTTGTTTTGCTTTTGCCTGATACTCCTTCTCTTCTACTTCTTGCTCTTCTTATTCTTCTTCAACCGGCCTATTAGGTCTGCTTGTGTGTGTGTATGTGTGCTGGTCTGCGCCTCTGTGTGTATACGTGTATTTACAAACAGCTCGGTTCAAAATATTAAGTCTTAAATATTGATAGAATTTGAAAAAAAAATTATAATGCTGTCAAAATTGTATAAGAAACAAGCAAGAAAACTAGCTTAGCTGGAAGGAAAATTAATTAATTATTAAATTATATTCTTTACTGGTCGAATTATTCTTCTTTACTGCTTTCCCAAGTTCTAGACTAAAAATATTATACCTGGCAAAGGTAATAATAAACATTTCTAATTAATATATTTGTTTAACTTGTGTTTAAACATGAATAACCATGCAAAAATGTACTTTGCCTAGCCCCCAAAAACTAGGCAACAAAATATAATAAATACCATATTTACCAATATATTTCCTTTATTTTCTGTTACTTTCTTTCTGTCCTGTTACTATTTTTTTGGCCTCCATGGTCGTCTGGCCATTGTCTGCTTCTGGCAACAATTTGAAGTAGCAGCTGTTGCCCCCCGCACCCCCGCACCCCCGCACTATCGTCTATGCTACCCTCTCCCTCGCACACAACCAAACCGTTCTGCCGTTACAGGCGTCGCTGCCAGCTTCATCGTCAACTTCTTTGCGCAGAGCGGCGAATGGCTTCAAAACGAATTCGAACGCTGAAGCGAACGGTTGTTCAACAATCCGAAAAAAAACACAAACATTCGAAAGAGAAACAGAGAAACCGAAAAAGAAGTAACAGTGCAAAAACAACAAAAGAGAATACAAAGAAAAAGAAACATTTTTTTTTGTTTGGTTTTGGTGCATCTTCGGCAAAAAAAAGAACCGGTTATTAAATGCGCGCTGCAACTAAAACAACAAAAGTAGCCACACTTGAAACACAACAACAAATAACAACAACAACAACAAGCAGAGCAAAGCAACGTTGCACATTTTCTTGAGAGCAGCTCAAACTGTAAAAAAAAACAGAGTAGAGCACAAGAAGAAGAGGAGAAGGAAAAGGAAAGGAAAAGAAGCGGAAAATTGCAAGGAGTTTTTTAAATATAGCAGAAGAATCGAGGATAAACCATAGTTATGGCCTTTTCGATTGTTAGCCGCGGCATTTTGCGCACTTCGAGGGAAATCCTGGAACGCAACATGGCCGCAACTGTCGGTGCTCTGCAGCAGACCGCCTCCCCGCCCCCTGCCTCAGCCCACATGTCCAACAACCACAGCGATTGTCATGTAAGTGTATAAATGTGTGTGATTTTAAGTGATGTTAATTCAATTACAAGAAGAGTTTCAAAGTCAAAGAAGAAGAGGAATTAAAAAAGAATTTTCCAAAAAAGAGAGTTTTTGAGAAAGAGAGTGGTTCCAAAGAGAAAGGAACTACCAAAAGAGAAGATCAATCTTCTATGTGTAAAATCTTACTTTTTAATCAGAAGATCCCAAAAGAAATAACAAAACAAAGAAGAATAAATAACACACCTTTAGTGGGAGGGAGTTATAGGCCAAAACAGAGAGAGAGAGAGAGAGAGAGAGAGAGAGAGAGAAGGAGTGGTAGAACAGAGCGCCCAAAATGGGAGGGAAGAGAGCAGAAACAAAGGAGTGTGAGTTGGTGTATTGAGGCCAGTTCTTTGAAAACTGTAACACAGTTGCCACAAAACTGTGGCAAAGTCTTAAATAAACATTAAGGGAAAACGGAAACATACAATTTACCATTTAAGACTGTAAGTGTTTTGTAAATTATTAAAAAATAGGTGCAAATTAATATACAAGTATTATTAAATGCATAAATATTTCAATGATAGAAGGAAATGTCTTAAAGATCCATCAATCAATCAATAATCATATAAGGGTAAAGGCGTTGAAATACGCAATTTCCTCAATGAAACATGAGCAGAAAATGCAAACAAATGTATACAGAGAAAAAAATTGGGGAAAAAATTGATAAATTGGGCTATAAAAGAATTTAAATAATTAATAATAGTTTAAAAATAAATTAAATAAAAACATACAATTGTTTTTGTTATTTCCAGCGCCTGTAGCTTTCTTACTTTTTCGAACATTCTATTCAAAAACTTTGCTTTTAGTAAGCCTTTTGTAGTTAAACAATATTTGCTTAATAATTTAAATTTCATAAGCATATTTTTTATGTTTATTTATGTAACCAGCTATGCTAACTATGTACATTTTTCTTTCTCTCTGTGTGTTTGTTCAGGTGAAAGCTACGTAGTTTTCCCAGCAACAACCCCACATTTCTTTTTCTTTTTTTCATTTTCGACAAACTGCGCAAATTCTGTGGCAGGAAAAATCTTGCGCAAAAGCATTGAACACAAAAATAACAACTAAGGGGAGTTTCTACCCTTATTTTCATCTATCTTATGAAATATATATATATATTGTATATATATATTAACAGCTGATAGCCAGGAAATGATTTAAGCAAAGAATTCCGCTTTTTTCGCGATTTTTCTTTGGCGTTTTTTAACATTGACCTGTTGCTCGACTTTGATTTTTATTTTGCAGCTTCTCCACTATTCTGCGCTGAGCATAAATCATTCTCTCTTTTTTTTTGTTTATTTCTAATTTTTAATACGATAAACGTGTTTTTCTATTGTGTTTTTTTGTTCAAGTTTCGTCGGCAGACAAATTTTAAAGCCAAGAGGAAGGAGGCCTGTTTTTTGCATTCATTAATTGAAACGTGGCTGGCTTCGGAGAAACTTGTTTACCACCAAAAACAAAAAAAAAAAAAAAAAAACAGAAACAATCCAAAGTTCGTTTAACCAAGCGAAACAAGCCCCAAAAAGGTTCCAACAGAAATACAATCCATATGATAATGGGCCACCACGCATATGATATCATCGTTGTCGATGGCTGCTGCCAACATCTGTATTTGTTGGATCCGTTTTCGGGTTCCCTTCTTATCGAGCCTCTTGAATTTGGAAGCATTTTTTTACAAGACTTTTGTTAGTGGGTCTGGTTTCTTGTAATTAAAATGAGTTCGACTCTCGACTCTTATCTTTTGCCTAATGGCAATGCCAGAAGCTGTCAGCAGATGATGGAAAAAAACAATAACCAAGAGACACTTTTGGCATCTATAATTATCTCGTATTGCTAAGCTACAATGTGGCAAGATGTTAAAAAAAAAAATACTTAAAGATTGGGTTACAAATTTGATTTGGAAATAATTTTTAAATGTTTAAAATGGATGGAAAAATGGTTTACAAATTAGGCAAGATGTTAATTTAGACATTCAAGCTTTTGGTTTCAAAAATATTTAAAAATACATCCAAAAAGAGGTTTAGAAGTCAAGAAAGTTCTTAATATATTTGTGTACTTTTAGATTTTGATACTTTTAAAAAAAAAATAAACCAGTTTCTCTTTAGCTTTAGCATTAAATCAATCTAGAAACATTATATAAATAATTATTAAAAACTGGTTTACAACAATTTTTTGAAGATTTCTGTGATTGCCACGTGTTTTTTGTTTCAAGCTTTGTCTGAAGAGAAATAAAAACCCATATCAGCGTGGTTTTTGAATTGTTATTTGAGAGTAAACAAAACTGACCTTAACAATAGCCAAAAACAACAAAAACATAAGCAATCACAAAAACAATCACAAAAACATAGAAATAGAGCACATACACATAAGTTGTAATTAAAAACATAATGATTGTTTACAATTCGAAGGGCACAGTGAGGGAGAAAATATAAATATAAACAAAAATAAATTGGGCAACACTTAAATGTTACTTTAGTCAAGTACTAATAGTATTTATTTGTTTTAATATTATACAACCCTTTAATTAAATGACAAGTTTTTAATATGTATATTTTCTTTGATTTTCCAGCGCCTTTTCCTGGCCACTGGTGGTTACATTTGTGGAAATGGAGCACACAACACCCACTCACTGCTGTGGCATCAAATGCGCACCACAGTGATCCAGGCCGTCCGTCAATATTCCAAGAAATCCGCCGGAGCGGCCAAGTTGCGTCGAGAGGTGGAGAGTGATAGCGATTCGGATTCGGATGATGAGTTCGAGCGTCGTCGCCAGAAGATGGATTCCAAGCGCAGTGAACGGGTAAATGAACTGCCATAAATATATATATATATATAAACATATATACATGTATATTTAACCATAAAAAATCCATCCAAATGCATACACGCCTCCACGTGTCTCGAAAAAAAAAAACAAATGTAATTTTAAAGCCAGAAAGAAACGTGTTCCGAAATTTGTTTTTGTTTTGCTGAAAAGGCCAGTGTTTTCCATTGTTTGCATGTTGACTTGTTTTTATACCCTTTCAGGGTATTATGAATTTAGTTTAAAGCTTGGAAAGCTATGAAGGAATCCTTTCCGACCCTATAAATCATATATATTATTGATCAGCATCAACAACCAAGTCGATTTAGGCATGTTTGACACCAAGAAAATTTTTCAAATTTTTTGTCCCAAATTTTTTATCATAAAAATTTTAAAATTGTCGAGAAAAATTTAAAATTTTGAAATTTTTCGTTTAATATGTAGGATTGTTAACCTAATAAAAACTAGCTTAGAGCAGTTTTCCGATTTGAAATTTATGCATTTTTGGCTTCGTTATGATAGATTTTTACTGAAAGGGTATAGAAATTTCGGGTTCCAAAATAAGCCTTCTTTCCTGCTTTGAAACTGTTTTTTTTGATCACTCGGTAACCTGGTTAACAGTGATTATTACCTAGATTAAAACTTTACTTTGTTAAATAGGTAGGGGAAATAGTTATATCGTTTTGTTAAGAGCTTTTTCTGTTGATTTTAATTCCAGGTTTCCCTAAGAATATAATTAATATTGCAAGTTGAGAGAACTAGTTTCAAACTTCTTATAATTTTCAAGTAACATGTAGTTAGATAATACTGTAACTTGGAACTTTAAAAATTAATTAATTAAAGATTATAAGAGGTTCGCAGCATTAAATATTTAAATATGTTCCGGTCTTAGTAAGAAAGTTTATTTTAAACATTGATTACTTTAATCAAAAATCAATATTAATTTATTAACACTTTTCAATAAGCAATATATCAAGAAGTAAACTATAAATATCAATATTTTGGATCCTTTAAAGCAGTTTACTATTTACGTAAAGGAAAGCAGTTTCAATGAATCCTGAAAAACTGTTTTAAGAGTTATAGCTAAGCTTAAGCAGTTTACAGTGTTATACAAAAAGCAAGGACCTTTTTTCAAGCAGTGTACAGAAAAAGCAGACAAGTAAAAGGGCATGTTTGCAGCTTTTGTAAGCAGTGCACAGAATAAAGGACATGTACTAGCTTTTGTAAGCAGTTTTTATAAAAAATACTTTTGTGGGACATGCTAGCAGATTTTTCAAGCAGTGTTTTAAAAGCACACAAGTTCCAGGACATTCTACGCTTTCAAGCAGTGAGTCTACAAAGCAGTACAGGACACTCTTACATGTTATAAGAAAGCCACCAAAGCGTGCAAGCAGTTTACAAAGCTATTTCAGATTCACTTTCAAGTCTTTTGGATGGAAAACTTTTCAATTAGTTAATAGATTTAAAACATATTTGATGATATAACAATTTTGTATATTAATATATTTTATTTGTATTATATTTTTTAGGGCGATTCAGCCTTTTGGCGTCGCAAAATGCGCACCCTGCACCGCATCCTTGATGTCAATCACGATGGCGTTGTGTCTTACGATGATTTCAGTTTGCTAGCCAAACGATTTAACGATTTGGGCCATCTAACCCCAGAGGTGGCGGCCGAATTCAACGATGTGATTAAGCATACATGGGAGGAGCAGTTTGGTGAGATAACCCCATATAATCTGGTGACTGCCGAGCAGTTTCTCACCGATCTGCATCATCGTCTCAATGACAAGAAGATGGCCAAGCGTATTGGTCGCTTTTTGCCCTATTTGTTTAAGGTATGTAATCCATACAATTTTAATGATTTGTATATATTAAAATATATTTTATTTTTTATTAAATCATATAGGCTGTGGACTTTGATCACACTGGCCATTTGGATCTCGAACAATACAAGCTCTTCTTCCGCTGTCTGGGACTCACCGAAGATGATGCTGCCGTTTCATTCGCTGTGATAGATAAGAACGGCGATGGCCAATTGTCGCTCAAGGAGTTTGTACATTTGGGCCGTCAATTTTTCCTCACTGAGGACGACACAAAGATATCGAAGATGTTCTGGGGACCGCTGGTGGCCGATCATTGACGTGTTGCAGTCACTGCTGTAGATCATCATCATCATCATAAACCAACAACATCATCACTATCATCACAATTCAATTTGAAAGAAGACAAAGAAGCAAATGAAGGAGATCAAAGAGAAGGATGCAATAAACATACCATCATCAATAATGAGCCAATGCTAAATACACTGAAAACGACAACGAGGCAATGGCCCAAAGGCAACTCGTTGCCAAAACGCGTGCAGACGGCATGCGGCAATTGGCCCAATCTACAGCATGTGGCGCCGCATAAAATGGGATTAATGAATTCCAGCACCACCCCAATAAAAAACAACACCATTATCACCAGCACGATCGTTACCAGGAACATGAGCATTTACGACTATTTACGGCAACATTTAAGCTCCGCCAAACGTCGTCGTTCCAGCCAGGACCTTTACTCTTACTCATCCTTGCCAGCGGCCAAGTTGCGTAAGCATAACTATAGCAACTATCGTTGGGAGCGAGAGAGGGAGCGGCAGGAGGAACGTGAACGTAGGAATGGCAGGACTAATAATGCATCCATGGATAATTACGATATAAGATTCTTTTTCTACCTTAATTCGCTAATATTATTCACCATGTCGTGCAGCCGGCAATATGACGGCGATGACCTTAAGCACTTTATATGCGAACGGATCCGGAAATTCGATCGGTTGCGACGGAAGGCGCGTAAGCGACGTAAGCGTAGATCCAAGCAGCTGCAGCTGTAAACTACGTAACTCTATATGTCCAACCCAGCTTAACTACATTATACTATATAAACCTATTACATTTTTTTTTATGTGTCGCCTAGTTAGGAGTTATGTTTAACTGAAATATTATACAACCAATAAACAGCAAGCATGATATAACAATAGAAAGAAGAGTTTTTCTTCAAGGGATTAATGGATCAATGAAATCAATTCTAATCAGAATGCACTAAAATAGGCATTAAAGGTGGAATGGATCAATGGATCAACGAAATAATTGTAAAGAAAATGTAGAACAATAAGTATTTAATTAGGAAGCTAGTTTTAAAACAGCTTTCTAAGGGTTTTTTTCTTTTAGGATACCCTCTACAGGTCCTTCTAAATTTATTATCGTATTATTTAAATTAATATTTATAAATTGATAAACTCCTATAGAAACTCAGCAGAATTTTAAAATAATTTCCAAGCTCTTATATAGAACGACTTAGCTACATGTTTGCACACTTTAGTGAGACCAAAGTTCCTGAATTCCAGTGTGCCCATGCTGCTTAAAATATCATCGAAACGAGACACTGAAGAAAGGACATAGAAAAGGAATTTCATGTGGCAGCAAAAACTTGTCGCACGTAAATCTCTGCGATGGTCACCTCCTCCTCCGTCTAGGCTGGCTGACCCAGAGCTCATTATGCGCATTTGTTTCTGGTTTTCTATTTTTTTTTCTATTTTGGGTAGGAGGAGCTCTTAGGCAGCTACGCCCGTTTCTTTTACTTTCCGTCCTCGCATATTTTTTTTAGCTTTAGACGGCCACCCATATCCATTTCCATTTTCTATTTCTGCATTTTTTGTTTCATTCATTTGTAGCTAATAATTTTAATGCTATTCAAAATTATGTTGCGAAAAAAAATTTGAATGCTGGGTGGGTGTGAGTATGGTTTGGAGTGGATGATGTGGAAGCCATGTGAGAGCATTTTTGGGAATGCCACGCACACACTTACACGCGCCAAGCTCTGTGCTTATAAATTGCATTTGTATCTAAAAGGACATTCATTTTAAGTGCACTTTGAGAAAATATATAGGTAAGTATATACATATATATATGTTTTATGTTTATTATAAATATTGTTATATATTTATCATAGAAATTGTATTTACTTATTAAAAAAAAAAAAGGTAGAGCTACCTAAAAATTCAGTCTTTCTACATTCTTTGCTTGTGCATTGGCAGGCAAATTAGTAAAAAAGAAATGGGATAAATAATAAATAAAGAAATTAGATATATAAATTTAAATTTATATTTATAATTCCTACATAATTTTTTTTAAGCTGATTGAAAAAAAGGAAAGTAATTACGAAAACGTAATACATTTTCCCCCAGTGTATGCCGGCAAGCAGTACCCATTGCCTGCGCACTGCTTGCCATCTTTCCGTCGTTTTTTCTTGCTTCAATATTTTATAATTTAATTTTTTTTTATGCCAACCCCTCTTTTTTCTTTGCCTTATTCTATATCTATATATAATATTTTTTTTCTGGTGGCCACGCACATGACGACCAGCGCTAATCCCTTTGCCTCACACACACACACACACTTGGCTACATCTTTCATTATGTAAATGCACGCTTTACACATTTTTTACCAGATGCACCGTCGTCATCGTCGTCGTCGTCCACTTTCGTCCACTTTTTAGCCATTTCTTTTTTTTTTAGTATTTTTTTATCTGGCAACTTGGGATTTGTTGGGTGGATGGGTTGAGTGTCCATATGAATAAAATATCTATCTATATGTATGTGCAACAGACTGAGTACATATGTAACTTTTCCTTTTCTATGGATTCTACTTTATTTTTTTTTTTAGCCCTACTCGGGTTTCCCCTCAAACTGCTATTTGCCATTTCAACGTGTTTTATCGCGTTTTTAAGAGCAGTTTTTAAAAATTAAAAGCACGTCCTAAGTCCACATTTGGTCAACAGCTGCTGCTTCAAGAAGGACATGGAGAATTAAAGCCTCCTAGGCATTGAATATGTACAAAAATTTATTTTAAGCAATTTAAATGCTTTTTTTTATGAAGCTCAGGAGCAAATTATCGATTTAGTTATCGATCTTTCGATAGTTTCTTTACGGGGCAGCAACAAGAATTGGCGCCCAACGTGGGACAAGGAAGAAAAGGATCAAGAGGCTTAAAGGTAAGGAAATAAACTAAAAATTGAGAAATAAAGAATTATTAAATAAGAATAAGCAAATATGTAATTAGGAAACTCTAATTTGCATAAGTTTCCTCGGGCAATCAATTGATAAGTTAATTATTTATAGTTTTAATTAGAACCTGAGGCTCATGATTCCACGGTTTATAGTAGCTACTAGAAAAACCAAAGATATTTCTGCATTATTTATTGATTTTAAACTTATGTGATATGGGAAATTCTGCTATAAGTCTTTATATATTGTATATTTATTTATTTTTTCTGTATAAATTAAACTAAATAAAATTGCCACTGCAGGTAAAGTTGTCGCTGGTTTTTCTTTTTTGCCACGAAATGCCTCTGCGGTTGGCATAAATCTGCCAGCTAATCATAGAAAAGGAGACACACGAAAAGAGAAAGGGGGGATACTTATCCTGCAAAAGGCCATAAAAGTGCGCTAATGTTAACCCGTTGCGTTGGGGGAGAGGAGAGGCTGCCTCCCTGCTTGAATTACAACACCCACCACACACACACCCACTCGCACACACACACATGGCTCTATGCCGTTGGCATGATAATTTAATTACAGCCCTGGGATTGGGTTCTGCGACCAAAGGCGGCATCAATCTGAAGCTTAGAGCCCCCACAATCTTCTACATGACTATATGGCATCTTCGTCTTAACACCTTTTTGGCCAAAAACATCCTCAGGAGTTGGTACATAGCTGTGCCAGATACAACGCCCCCGAAATCATGAAAATCACTCCCGAAGTAAGCCGTCTTGGAAATGCAAATTGATCGAAGTACAGAATGCTCTGTCTAGAAAATTCATTAATCTTTATCGATATTTTTTCGATAAGATAACGATAATGATGTTTTCCAAAAAATCACTATATGTTTATAATTGATTTTACTTATTTTTAATTTGGCTAAAAATAACTGTAAACTTTGAGACTTAAGTATTATTTAAAGACTTCAATATTCTTTTCTGAAATAGTTCTTTATTACTTAAAGTGTGTCGATATTTTTATCAATAGGTAGGTAGTATTAAAATTATCTATTTGGTCTGAAATTTATATTCATTTTCTAAATTACAAACAGGGTTGTTAATTATTTTTCTGATACTGTTTTGTTGTTATTGTTATTTTACTATTGTTGAACTATAAAATCGAAGCATTTAACTAAATATATATCCTTCTTTCAAAGTAGACTTATCAGAACATTCCCCTTGTGATTATTTTAAATTGATCAAAATGTCTATTTAAGTATAATGTATAATGTTGAAAATCCTTAAGTGTTTTCATTTTTCTTAATAGTACTTTAAAGTATATTTAATTGGAAAAATCATGGGCATTCTCAGGGCTTAATAATATTTAATTAAATATTTTTTGAATGAATTAAAACTCTGAATAAAGAATAAGGCTTGTTCACGGGTTAATAACAACCTATTTTTCCTCACTTAAAGTTACTATATTTATATTAATATTTTATATATATATAAATATATATATTTTATATATATAACACTAAATAAATAATATTTAAATGTAGAACTTTCGATGCAAATGAAGTCATGTTTAGGCTCTCAGCTAATGGGTAGCAGCCCGGCTGCGTTGTCAGGGTATAATTATATATTAAATTAAGCCATTTGCATGCGCGTATTTTCGGGAACCCCTCAACACACACACCCCACATACACACACACCCCTCAGAGAGGCCGGGGCTGTGTTGTAGATTATTAAAAATTATGTCTCACAGTAGGACATGCAATGCCGGCAACCCTTCCTTCCACATTTTCTGTTTTCTTTTTATACCCTTACAGGGTACTATATTTTCAGTCAGAAGTTTGCAACGCAATGAAGGTGTTATCTCCGACCAATTTTTATCTAATTTGATTTAAAGTTATCTTTTATTATTATAGAATATCGTTTTTAGTTTTATGAAAATCGGAATACTATATAAAATACCTCCCAGAGAGACGGTTGTTAAATGCAGAGGCTCTGTAAGTATCTTTCAACAGTAAGTATCTATGAAGAGTAAGTAACTATAATCAGTAATTAATCTGATCAGTAATTATCTATGATCATTAAGTATCTATGAACAGTAAGTATCTATGATCAGTTAATAACTCTGATCAGTAAGTAACTTTTAGCATTAAGTAACTATGATCATTAAGTATCTATAACCAGTAAGTATGTATGATCACTAACTAACTTTAAACACTAGTAAACAATGACTTGCAACTTTTGTAACACAACACATATCTGAGACGTGGCCGGCAGCAGGCACTTCGTTCCGGGGATGTGAGAACCAGTTGGGAATCATATGTACCCATGTGCGAGATTTGTTTTGGAACAAAGAGCAAGTTATTCGAATGAAACTATGGAGTTATTATTCTAAATAATTTTACTAGTATATAAGTCGGAGCATGTAGAATCGGTGGACTATATATATATACATATATATAGCTGCTATAGGAACGATCGGAAAATTTTGAGAAACAAAAATTATAATTTTTCCAGTAGGCATTGTTTTTTAACACAAATATAAATAATTTTTATTGTATTGGTTCCTAGTGATCGAATTTCAATCTCCAAGGGTATACAAACTTCGGTGTGCCGAAGTTAGCTTCCTTTCTTGTATTTTTGGTGTATTTTTTCGTGAGCCACATAGGCCACATTAACGTGCCCGAGATAAGAAGCAGGCAGCAGTTGCAAAAATTATTTTACTCGTTTTTTTCTGTCTATTTTTTTTAGGGGGGAAAAGGGAGGCTCTGGGAACCCCCCTTGACATTTATTACTCTTACTTGTTGTTGTTGTTGTTGGGAGGAGCAGGGGGGAAAAAAGGCAAATCCACGCAAAAATTATATTTTGACGTTTGTCAGCGGCTGAGGCGAAGGATTAAAGGCGGGGCCAGCGAAGAAGCCTACATGGCAAAAAGATAAAGAACGGAGAACAAGAAAGTTCAAGGGGGAGGAGGAGGAAGAGAA